TTAGAAGATATTCAAGAATTTTTACTCCTTAAACGATTAAATATGAATGCCGAATATATATAAAAATTTTAATTAATGTTTTATTTAATTATAATTAGAAGATATTCATTAATTATTTTCTTTAATAATTTTTTTTGGTATGGATTGGTATGGATTAATATGTCAATATGACCTGTCCTTTTATATTTTTCTGGAAAATTAATGATAATTATTTTTGCAAATATTAAAGGAATTTTTATACATAATTATTTTCATTCAAATTATACGAATACTTTGATTTATATATGCAATGATCTGAATATTCTCAAAAATTGTAATTATTTATTTTTGATTCTTTATTTACTTGAATGAATTTGCCGGCCTTATATGGATTATTATATCGATTAATATATGCCTTGAAATAAAAGTTTTTTTTTTCTTTCATTTTTAATTTTATTTTGCAAGTATTTAATTTCTAAATTATATGGATACAAAAAAAAATTTTTTTCAACGTCTAAAAATTTATTTTGAAACCCACAAAATGGGAAAAAATATAATCAGTTGCGGATCGGAACGGTTTATTTGTATATATAATTTATCAAAATTTTGCATTGGTCAAACGCATGTATCAAGAGAGCCCTTGAAAGGAATACGCTTTCTAAGCGCAAATAGCAAAATCGTTGTGGTCATCTGTCATGTCTGCCTTGTTTTATTTACAAAAAGGAAATTTGAACACAAGTTTAATAATCACCATCGATTACTGGTGATAGTTAGTTTCTTATTTACAACATTCGCAAACGTCTATCAGACGCACTACAAAAAATTATATCTCTGTTCGGGAGACCTAAATATTTATGGTAAATTGAAAATGCTGAATCGATTCGTTCATATCTGTCCGTGCGTTTCTTTATTGTTTATTGCAAGGAGGACTCGTATTCGAATAATTAAGTACGGAAACTGAAGCTAACAGTTTTATTTCAAACCCAATGACTCCCAGATCACCGCATTAAATACTTTACACGATCCTACAGTTCGTCACATAACGACTTAAAAATAAGACGCTGTATGGGAAGTGGTCGAAGAAGTGGTATGATCCGAATAATTTTCAACAGCGTTCGTCTTTGGGTCAAAGCATCTCGTACAGTAACCGCCGCACTGTTTGCTTGAGTCGCTATGACCGGAGGTGCTTCCCGGGCAGCCTTCCTTTGTATCGCATTTACGCTGGAAATCTGATGATGTTGATGTTGTGTTGTCAGCGAATCGTCTTCGATTTCCTCTTCCTCATAGAGTTGTCCGTTAGCCGAGGTCCGAAAAACTATACCTAAAGAAGAATAAATTTCCATTTTGGTTAGTATTCATTATATAATCATAATACAATTAAATTTGGCAAATGGGATATGCCTCGGAGATCCTAAATATAATTATCTTCATCAATTTGAATGGCGAGTTTTCTGAGCGTCAAACATACATGATAGAAGTATATATATTAATAATAAGTGAGCTCGTTATATTCGGGCAAGGTTGATGCTAAATACCGCGAAAAAGAGAAGAGTAAAGCGTTACCTACAGCCTAAATAAGAGTGCTTTATATTTTATTCAGAATAGCTACGCGACCTGAATAGACACGAAGTCGATGCACCAAGACAATTCACGAAATCGACGTACAATGCCAATGCACCGAGTCAATGCACGAAATTCGTGCACCAAGACGATCCGCGAAATCGAAGTGCGCCATCGAATATTGGTAGCTGTATAATGTATAGAAATAATGCGTGGTAGTCGAATTCGAAAGGAAAAACAGCTGTGTAATGTATAGAAAATAAATCGTGGTAGCTACAATCAATGAATTATCAGTGTATCCTTCTTCTTTTGTGTTTATAGCTTAAATGTACTTAGCTTAAATTATATTACACACAAACGCGCTTAAAGTGAAAAGATATTTATATAGCTTAGCCTTTTATATTTATGAATTATTTATTATGTATTTATTTAATTTAGTACGAAATTTTTAATAAGGTGCTTCCATCAGCCTATAATTATAAGGTCACAATTTACATTAATATAATAAGCTAAAGCTAAAGCTTATACGATTATGTTATAAACACAAAAAAAAAAAAGGTTGAGAAAAAAATGAAATTCACATTTCGTAGCTACTGACAGGGATTGATGCACGAATGTCGTGCATCGAGTTGTTGCGTCGACTCCGTTTTGTTTCGATGTGTAAAACTGTATCTTCCGTTTGCCTAACAAAGAAATATTTATTAATTGTAAACCAACAATCAATTTTTGTACAATTTTTTTCGTCCCCCACCTCGACATTAAATCCAACTGACATTGCCGTTCCAGCAGAAAATCAGCTGAGAATTTTTCGCCTCTCTTGACGATATTAATTGAGGACAAAATCATTGCTGCCCTTAGGAAAAAATAGATTACGCAACAATATTAAAATGTCATGATTTTAAATACCTGAGCATAATAGGCGTTGACATTTGTGTGGCCATTTGGCGCCAGTGTTTGTGCACTTGGCACATTCCTAACCACCAAAGCCATCTGCAAAGACAACACACCTTGGTCCGATAACGCACTCACCAATTCTGGGAGCTAGATCGAGTCATGGCAATGAACCATTCATTAATTCATTTACCGTTTTGTTTGCGCAACCCGTACGAGGTACCGATCCAAAGTACAATACAAATATTTACCTTGCCCGACTATCGCATTCGTATTTATTTTCTAATGCACCTGTCATATAAAGTGATTACATTCCGTATAACGTAATAATAAATAAAATTTTTTCGATTAGTAAAGAACTAAAATATTACATTAACAAAAAAAATTATGTACAAAAACAAAAAAAAAAAGAAAACACACACACGCAATAGCATTGAAAAGTAAACGGTTAAATTATTTTCGGAAGATGCAATTGTGTCAGTCAAATTGGAGGTGTCTGCGTTAACACTTGTATGCGTTAAATTGCCTTGACTCTTGTGGCACGAAATTTCATCAAAATATTTTAACAATTGCCTCTTGTATGGATATAACAAAACCAGTGGGTAGGCGGACAGACAAGAATCGATCTGAATCGATCTGAATCGATCTGAATCGATCGGCATAATAGAAGATGGATATATGTCAAGTGCCTTTGGATGTTATACACACATTCGCACAAACCTAGTGTCTCCTTGTACCAGAAGTGGTGTAGGTCCATTTTTGATTTCGATACAGAAACTAACTATACCGTATTACAATTATGGGGATCGACCCGATTTTTCCGACCAAATGTAGCGAGCCTTTACCGGACAATAAAATTTAATTTTAATTACTTTATGGTGGAAATGGATGAATAATAATAAGCTCTTGAGCATTAAGATTAATTTTGCTAAATTTAGACCACATCAGTCCAAATTTCGGGACTTGTTCCATATAAGGGCTGTTATAAAAAGCACGTCTCTACTTGAAAACGTAATATGTTGTAGTAGTTTACCATGCCATCAAATGAAGAATTGTACTTGGTGGAGTAGTTTAGGGTATTTAATGGCTAATCTTCCCTTACTATCTTTTTTCTACTTTCGTTAGTCCATTTCGTTTTATTGTCTAAGGCTCGTTTCCACGCCATCCTTTGAATTTCGATCTAACAGTGCACACATACTATAATATATATATTATATATACACCTGATCCGTTTGTAAAAAAATAATCTCGCACAATTAAATGTTTGTCTATATTGTAGTCACATACAATAAACAAATAAGAAAACTGTGTTCGGTCGCGACCGAATCTTTTATACCCATCACCGTTATCCTAAGAGAGATAAAACCAAGTAAAAGAACTAAATTTTCATCCTCTATAATATGGGAGATGGGCATGGCTAATTTTTTTCTATTTTCAAAAGAAGCTTCTGCCGCATAGGTGTTTGAGCCTTGTAGATGTGCCCTTTAAAAGTCACTTGCAAATTCTTTTGCAATTTTGTAGCCTAAATCTTCACTTTTGCTGACGGGAGAGTCTACCGCAGATACTACCCCGGTGGATAGACGATAGACAGATATGCTTCAACGCATTTTATATACGTTATGGGATTTTTGAAGCTTGTTTTTGCAAAAGTGCTGAAAAAAGATTAAATTTTAATACACTACTATATTAGGTGGGCATGGTCAACTTTTCCATTTCTGTGTAGGTACTACGTACAGTATCATTCAAACGTTTGTCCATTTATCTGCTATAGAGTATGAGTAATGAGCAAAAAAGCTAATTTTTTATACCTTTTGAAAAACACTTTAGCTGTTCTCAGTTTGGATAATGCTGTAGATGCATACTTCGACCGATTTGACCTATTTTTAACACCAGTCTGCTTGCTAGGACTTCTAATCTACCTGCCAAATTTACAATTTACTTAGACGGACAGACGGACATGCTTAAATCCATTCAGAATTTGATGCTGTTCGAGAGTATATATACTTTATGGGGTTTCTGAAGCTCCCTTCTGGCCGTTGTATATGCATCATCCTTTGGTGATGGGTACGATAAACATCACTCCTTCCGTGATTGGTAAAATCAATTGACATGCGTCTGCATATAGAGTGTGTGGTCCGAGTGGTGATCCATTCATTATCGCTACGAACCCATAAAATTCTATAAGAAGCTCTTTTGAAATGAAAGCGGTGCTAAAGTTAAATCAATCGCGAAATGAAAAAAAAATTTTTTTATTATGTTCTCTAGGTTAAGAGATCAGCTTGATGTTTTATACAAGCCATAAAAAATGTTTACATTGTAATCTCAAACCAGTTAAAAAATTTAAGACGTAAATCTCTACATTGCTAAAGTTCTCTTGCTTTAGTTTATTACTTCAAAATTAAGCAAGAGCAAGAATACAAAATTGTAGGACTTCCTAACACATGACTTTATTTTCGAAAAAATATTTCCGAAAATATATAAATGAAAATTTTTTATTAATTTGTCACAACAAATTTATTCTTGGCCTAATTGATCGGTTCCAAAGCGCTTCGCTAGTTACATAACCCTATTTATTCATTCATGTACTTCCATTATTGACTGATAGGCTCTGATAGTTCGTATATTACTATTTTTAAGCCATGCACAACTTGAGGTATAGGGACCAAAATGGCTTCAGATAGGCTTATCTTACACAAACTTTAATCGATTCGAAAGCGATAATAAGAGGTAGGTCTAGTTGTTCTTTCTGTCATGTACATCTGCTTAAAGTTTATTTATCCTTGTACCACAATTGTTATAGGATATAAAAAGCTTGGCACTATACCTGGAAAGTTTGCTAACATATACGTATATAAATACGCAAGTGTGAAAAACAGTATCGATATAAAATAGGCGTGTCTGTCTATATTCTTATTGAAATCGCATTTGTAAGTTGAAAATTTAATTTTTAAAAATCCAACGTAATTTCAAACATTTTATCATTCTTGATAGGCGTGACTTTGAAAGTTGCTTTTGTTACGGAACGGTAATCACGCGTGAAAACTTTAAATTTCGATTTAATTTTTAGTCTCTTTGCGAAAGCTAAAGTTAATTTCCACCTACGTGATTACGTCCATTATATTAAATATCGTATATCGTATATTAATGCAACATCGCTTTATCTCACGATTAAAGATAAAGTGACTAAACCTATGATGTAATAATCATGGATGGTTTATCCGATAATGAGATGCGATATATACGTATATGATAATTAATTGATATACGATCCATTACATATGGGGTGAATGATATATGTACAAATGTGTTATGTCAATAGTAGTTTACAACAAATTTTTTTTGCTTCAATATCAACTGTAAAAATAGTAAATGAAAAATTCGTTCTAAGCCGAATATAATTTCTCTCTTATCTTGAATGCTACAAGCTTAATGGCACTAATTAGTGCACCTTCACCTTTAGGACAATGCATGTGAAAACCAAATATCAATTAAAGTCAACGAGTATAGATCTATAAAAGGCCCATCACAAAGTTAACGAACGCTTAAGTACGTTCCGCGTTCGCCACAAGTTTATTATATGAACAAAATGAGAAAATTTTCGCATTATTCATCGACATTAATTTTATTATTAATTCCGCTAATTGGAGTTTTTGGTGAATTTCGTGAGTTTTCTTTGTTAAATAAAATTAAAATTGAAATTATAATAATTTTAAATTAAATTAATTATTAATTATTAAATTTAAAAATATACAGCGGAAGATGTGGTCAGATGTCACCACAGTGACAGCGAGTGTCTACTTAAAACGACTCAATATATTCTGAATAAATATCCTAAGGGTTTGCGTTCCTTAAATCTAATACCGTTCGATCCTTTACATATCAAATCGTTATTAATTGAAAGAAATTCCGAAAGTCCGGTTAATGTTGAGGTGAAATTGACAAATGTGGATTTATTGGGCTTGAGTAATACTACCATCACGAATATAGAGTAAGTAAGAAAAGAGAGATATAACATATTCCCCTTTTGGGTAAATTATATCTTTCGTAACTATCACTGGCTTATAAACGATATTTGATCGACATAAACGACAAGAGATTCATTCGGTTGAAATGCTTGGTATATCGTATGTCATTCAATGAATATTTTTCATAAAATTTGGCAGCATTGCATGTGGTTTTTTTTGTAAAATTCTGTGGAGTGAACAGTTCAGTTGTTTGCCATTACTTTTACATATGTCAAGTGCCTTCAGTCACACCAATTTTTGTGCGAGATGTTTTTAACGATCTTACCATCAATCTTAAAGGTACCATTAATCTCCAAAAATCCATTCCTCCAAATTGGTCAATTTTCGTGAAAACCTTTGGTTGGGTAGGATCCAAGAAATAGGGTGGGAATGTCCAAATTTAGTACAGTTAATTCTTTTATGTTAATTTACTATTGTGATGCAGTTTTCTTCATGAAAAATTGAAAACCATACCTTTCGTCGTGTGAACTTCAGTTTTCGTTATATGAATTCAAAAATTGCTCCAGCCGCTCCAAAGATTGCATATCAATTTAGAATGCCCATATTACTACTAATTAGCCGCGTTTGCCGAGGAATTTTAAAAATTGCAATTAACGAGTTTTCAGAATAGGGCGTTATATGGGGTGTGGTGAAAAAGTGGACCGATTCGAACCATTCTCAATAGCGTTCGTTCTTGGGTCAACACGTCATTGTACCAAATTTCATCGAAATATCTAAAAAATTGCGACCTGCAGCTTGAACAAAAATTTACTTGGACAGGTGGACAGCCGGACAGGCGGGCTTAGATTATGATTGTGAATTCATCGGTATAATAAAAGCTGGGTCTATGTTATGCCCTTTTGCGTGTTACCTACGACTGCGCTAACATAATATACCCTGCACCATAAGTAGTGTAGGATATAATGACATGAATATCAATAAAGAGTTGCCCCTACCACCAATAATCTCTTAATTTATAACAACGAGAGCTTCGCAAGTATTTCAAGAAGTCCTCGATATGTATACCACTTCGTTTCAAGCTTTTGGCACTCTTGCGTTGTTGGATATTAAAAAAATATTTCAGTTTTAAAAAAGTTAGATAAAAGAGCAAGCATTTCCTTATTAGGGGCTTAGCAGCTAATTTTACTGGTCGCAATTTCTTGGAAGGTTTTATACCGAAAATCGAGCTGAATGGTAATTACAGTGCAGAAGGTCAAGTTCTGATGTTACCCCTTACGGGTAAGGGTCGAATGCGTATTGTTTGCCGTAAGTAAAGAAAAATACAAGATTTCTTTTTTATTTAATTTATTTTTTTTTTTGCCTTGCAGATAACATCACTTTTCGTTTCGGTTTCGATTTGCACCCTCTAGTGAAATCTGGACAAACTTTTGCCCAAATTAATCATATAAAATTACAGGTTACGCCCGAATTAGTTTATTTCAAATTTGGTGGTCTTTTCCAGGATGATAAGACAATGGAGGATAATGTGAATAAATTGCTTAATGATAATTGGGTTATTATCTATAAGGAAATGGATGGAAGCGTAACAAAATCGATTAGTCTTATTATCCAGAAATTAGTGAATGGTGCCTTTAGTAAATATCCTTATGAAGATTATTTTCTTAAATAAAATTTAGTTTGTAATGAAATCAGAAATAAAAGACAAACTCTCTTCAAATATATTTTTCTTATACCTTCACCATAGGATTGGAATACTATCCCGACTTTAGGGCTCTTTATACCCTATACCGTTTGTGATACAGTTAGTGGGGACGTATGTAACATGTGGAAGAGCTTAAGTTTGATCCATCTTTTATTATACTGACTGATTCTGTGCGTCTGGCCGTCTGATCTAAAAAGTCATTATATGAAAAACAATTGCAATTTTCAAAATTTCTCGACAAAAATGACTACAGTGTAGTATTTCCAACGTCTAAAACGTTAGACGTTGCAAGACATTTCTCTCCCCCTACGCACTAATTTTAGTCTTAAACAAACACAAATTGCAAGAGTAAACGGTTGTGCGGGTAATACTAGCGACAATTAAATGAAAAAATGGTTCAACTTTTTGTTTGAAATTCAAACTTGGAGATTATTATGGCACTTTTTGTGTTTGTGCTATCGATAACAGTAGTAGCGATATCAATTAGCAGACATTTCACAACTTACTTTTTGAATCTCATTATTTGTGTGGGTAAAGTCCTTGTTAATAGTTTCTTGATAGGATGTCGAGATATTGTTCTACGCATTCAGTGTCAAGATATTGTTCTACGCATTATCTACATGACTTAGACATAAGACGTAGCCAGTGCGTAGAAAATCGGTAGACAATCCATGTGCAGCTTTATGCGGAATGTGCCGGGTACTTGTGCGACAATTTGGAAAGGAATATTTTCGAAGATGAGACTTTTCATTTTTGTTGACGCTTTCGCCGCTCATATCCGCTATAGTGGGATTAAAATAGATCGATTGAATTCGCGCATCTCTTAGACATGTGCTTTTGACTTACACGATTTGGTACATCGGCATGGATTCAGGTCACGAAAGTTGGTTCAAAATATAAAGTTTGAAATGAGATTTTTATCTTCAAAATGCAATTTTATTTCTTTTATATAAATAAACGGAAAATCCGTAGTTGTCTCTCAAGCTGCTGTTAAGAACGCATTGTAAGATATCTCATCAAAAAGTTGACTAAAGAAACTTTTGTACATGCGATTAATGGCACAGAACTCGCGCTGCAATATTATGTTATTTTCTTGAAAAACGTCGATTACTTTCTGCGTTAAAGCTGCCTTATCGCCTTGAGTCAAATTTGTCAATTGAAAATACATCGATTCCGGTCTAACGGATGTAAATATTTTTTTAGGGCTTAGATAAGCCACATTTCCCTTCATAGAACGCTCCCCTTCTATCATCACATTATAATTGGGATTCACTAAAAAGATTAAAAAAAAGTATTTTCAGCGAATTCGGTTTCGGTTTCAAAACATATATGTATATATATATAAAGTTTTCATAAACATCTCGATTAAGCAAATTGACGTAAGGCAGAGAACGGAAGTATAGCTTTTTACGATGTGGGAGGGATATGAAAAAACTTTCTTATTAAAATCTCTTATCGAACACCAGAGATGAGTAACATTTATCTTTATTATCTTTATTTATAACGCGTCGGAACTATGCCTCAGCGGTCTTATAAAATGTGCAGTCAGGGAAAAAGATCATGGTGTTTTTATATTCAACATCTCTTGTAGTAAACTGTACATTGAGTTTGTGCACGCGTTTCTATTAGCCAGAAAGATTCTACACGTACTGCTTGTCTGTCCATCTGTTGTCTGTCTACGTGCTTGTGGTCAACCTATAGATCGCAATTTTCGAAATATTTTGATAAAATTTGGTGCACTAACGTGTTTTGCCCCAAGGTCGAATACTATTGGAAATCGTTCGAATTGGACCATTTCTTCGATCCCTATTTTCCCTATATAATGCTCTATTTTGTTAAGTCAGACAAATGTGTTAAAATTAGTGAAAGCAAGCAATAATGCTATAGTTGAATAAGGCCGACCCTTAGGTGCCCTATAGCACATATATATATATTATTTTTATGTATATGCTTAATCTTCATGAAAGCGTTCGTATTGGGGGATATTCCAACGTCAACGTGGTCTAAATTTATCCAAACTTAATTTGCAGTTGCTTCCATCCTAATAAACTAGAAATTGGACTTTGTTGCCATAACAAAATTTGATTCTACGAGGGCCGCTGTATGTGGTGGGGTCTGAAAAATAGACTTGCACGATCCAAATTACTTATATTTGATTTACTAAGGAAAAATTTTTATTATGCAATATTAAAAATCTTTTTAACATATAAGGACTTCTTTTTCATTAGAATCCTTATATGAGTTCGGATTCAAAAAATGGAATAAAATAATCCAATTTTTATGTGGAACTCTATTCTTATCAAGAAGTATTGAAAAGTAGGTCTTTTTACTATGTAAAGGTTTAGTTTTCGCAAGTGTGGTCATATGATAAGGGATTCAAAAAATTGCTCAATCCGATCCAAAGTTTTTACACCAATTTAGAAAGTTGGATTATTATTACCATGCCGAAGTACTAAAGTATGATGAAATGCTGAAAATTGCAGTATTTTTTCGGACTGGTCGAAAGCGTGGACCTGTTCGAATTATTCACAATAGCGGTCGTCCTTGGACTAAACCATGCCAGGATACCAACTTTATGACCTGTAGGTTAAACACAAAATTACATGGTCAAACATAAGGGGGACTGACGGACAGAAAAGCTTTATAAAATGTCTGTCTACCTTAAGTGTTTTCGATTGTTAGAAATGTCCTCATAAACTTAATATACAGAGTTGGGTACAGAAAAAATACTTACCAGTCCTTTTCACAGCATTAGTAAAAAAAAGGCAACGTTATCAACTCGTAAAAAACGCTTGCAAAAAAAACGAAAAACAGTAACTTAGTCTACTGAAAATGATCATCTAAAATTTTCAAAACATTCTCCATCTGACTTTGGCTAAAATCTTTCGAAATTTTTGTATTATTTGTTAGCTTGTTTCATGATGAAAACATAAAACTTTCTTATCTGGTATTCACTAACTGTTGATTAAACAGTAAAACGAACAAAAAATGTTTTTAATAACTTTTTGAAAAGGTATGCTTATGCGATCCGACTTCTAATAAAGTATAGTTAGTGAAATTTTTAAATTGTCACTTCTTATCGAATTTCGTTAATGATTATCTAATATGAAAAGGTCTCGAAACTTTGTTTGGATGCTTTTCAATTTTACACTGAATTCGTGGAAATTCATTCAGAGAAAAGGTTAAGAATTGAAATTCTACGCTTACCATAAATGCTTACGTAACGCTGAATGGAAAGTTTGCAGTCTGTTTAGGGGCAATGAGGGTAAGGACATAGTGTTTCCCTGCTTATGTTACTTTCCATTCGACTTTGTAGATATTTACCATAAGTTATGTTAGCTCTGCCATTGCATTTAATTTTTTGACCCAAAACTACACCTTCCATTTGATAATCGGCCAATAAAATTGTTCTTGATAATTTGAAATCGATTTGATGCTTCTGATCGATGGTTTCAGTAAAACCTCTGCAGGTAAACAGCATTAATTAATGAAATTTAGTTAATAAATTAAATCATTTTTTGATTGATACTCACTTGATGTTAACGGGAGTTGATTTTTGTATTCCAAATAAAAAACAATTTTCAAAGATTAGTTCAAGGCCATCAGTGGCTTCAGCATCTTTTTTAATACGAATTGCTGGCATTGACGCGCCTTCGTAATCTGTGGGTAGAAAATGTTTTTCTTTTCTTCTTATAATTTTTATAAGGATTTTATTCACGTACTCTGATGAAGGGCGCGTAAAACAATAAGGAAATAGTTTTTTAAACATTCCTTGTCACCTTTTGAGCAATTGGGAGCTGGGGAGCACATGGAATAATTAAAAAAAAATTACTTGTCCATTACAAGTGCGTCAGTTAAATATTTTTATTTAAGATCACCATTTGCCATGGGCATGTTTATTTCGAGCTGACTGTCAGCTCATCTTTTATACCCAAGAGGCCTTGAGATAGACCCACTTTTTGTTATAACGATTGGCTCAGAATCACTTTCTGAACCGATTTAGATTTGTCTGTCCGTGTGTCTATTTTCAAGCTGCAACCTTTGACATATTTTGATTAAAAATGCTGCCTACTTGTCTGTCAGCCCATCTTTCTGTCTGATGTTTGTCTATGTAAATTTATATTTGAGCTACAGATCCCAAATTTTGAATTTGACACGGCTTGACCCAAGTCCGAACGCTATTGAAAATGCTTCGGAGCAGACCACTTTTGCGATTACTTTCTTTATAACACTTTACCTTGAAAAGTCGTTATATGAATAACTGTATTAACTGAAGTGACGTAGGAAAGGTAATTGTGGGCTGTGGTCAACAATAGTATAATAATCAATGCAAACGATTACATATTAATTTTTGGTAAACAAAACTCACGCAATACTATTGCTTGCAAGCAGTTAATCACCGTTAGTATCAAAATATAATGCAGTTTTCTTAAACGTTGCATATTAAATTTTAGCGACTTTTTAATGGAAACTATCTGTCTGTACTACGCAATTCAATAATTTACTGATCGGCATTTATTTTTCTTTCCATTGAGGATAAAATTACTTACTTTGCAATGAAATAGTAAATAGTTTACATTAATGGCAATAAAAACAAGAAAGAACTTTATAATCGTGCAAGTCCGACCTTTAAATACCCTACCTAGTGAACATTGTCTAACACAATTCACACACCAATCAATTGCCGTGAAAAGCCTTATTAGAGAAGGATCCAAACAATAGCTCGAGGTGGACAAAATTTGATACAATTAATTTTTTGTCCTGAATGACTGTTATGATCTGATTTTCATTATGAAAGGTTGAAAAATTATACAGTTTTGTCGTATGAAGTTTAGTTTTCGTTACATGAGGGAGGAGGTGGCAGAAAATGGCCAGCTTCAAAATTGACCCATGCCGAAATACTAGCCACTTAGCCACTTTCGCTGAGAAATTTTGAAAATTGCAATTTTGTTCCATTTAATGACTTCTCAGAGTAGAGTGTTATAAGAGCTGTGCTCGAAACGGTAGATCGATCGCAAACATTTTCAACAGCGTTCGTCTTCGGGTCGAAACACTTCACTGTACCAAATTTGACCAAATATTTGAAAAACTGCGACCTGTAGCTTGAACACATATTTACATGGACAGACGGACAGACAAGTCTAGATCAATTCAGATTATGATTCTCAATCGAACGGTATAATAAAGAGTGGGTCTACTTTAAGCATTTCTGCGCGCAATGTAAATCAGTACTAACTTAATATGTCCTGTACCACAATCGGTGTAGGGTATAAAAGAAAAAATTGGTGCCAATTACAAAACTGAACATACGTGCTTGAAGATATCACATGAAAACTATTGCTACTAGACTGTGTGTGGAGTCCATATTTTACTACGGTAAAATCCTTGGAAAAAGATTGACTACAAGTAGCTCTATAAACACTTGTGTTATTAAGTGCTTGCAAGTATTTCGACCACCCTTTCACTTGATAAGGCCAATTATTGGGAAAATTAGCAAAACTAATCAAATATTTATACATTATGTACTAATCAAAATATTTTCAATCGTTTTTGTCATCTTTCTGGCAGCACGGCGATTGCTCGTCGAAACAACGACATTGGCTAGACACCGAACCAATCATCCACCAATTTTCTCACTAGGTCAGCATTTCGAGACCGAACGCTAGCCAAACCATGCCGCGTCCACCTGAACAAGTGGCAATCAGAAGGCGCTACTTCTGATGAGTACATGGGTTACGACTTGCGACAGTGTATTCGTGACAACTATTGCGAAAAGTGACTGAGCGTTGCCATGCAATAGAATGACTTTTTGTCTGTTCACCTCTGTTGGTGGCTTTCTTGCACCAATACGTCGTTTGATTTATTCAACTGATGTTGATAGACCACTGTAATACGCTACACCTTGCTGATTCTACCATATCCACAACAAAACGTGATGGTCATGAATATTCTGCTTCGGTGACGATGTGGATGGCTTTGCTGCACTAATCTAAGATTGTTTCCGCTTGGGATTGCCGTGCGATTTCATCGCCAGTCTCTCTTCTTTTTTTGCCTGGCAAGCAATGACACCATGATGTCGAGACGGTATGATAGTGATTTTCCCTCCTGAATGATTCTAAACTCCATAACTACTTCATGTAACGTAATGTAAACACCGAAAGAAGAACAAACTTCTATCTTGAGTTAAGAAATATTTGGGCCAAATGGGTGCGGATGGTGATTAATGGATTTAGAACGAAAGCGGGTCTAAACAGAACGATTTATTGGAGAATGTGTTTACTGGATGGGACTTGCATTTCTTACGAACCATGTTCAATTCAATTTTCGAACCATGGTTTTCCGGTTAATTGCCACTGAAACTGGTTGGTACACGTCGAGCACAATAGATTTCGAAGGAAAGTCGAAGTAGAACGAACAAGAACGTATCTTTACACCCTACACCACCAGTGGTGGAAGGGCATATTAAGTTTGTGCAATACCGAGAAGTAGTTGGAACAGACTCACCTTTCATTACACCGATAAATTTAGAATTACCTCTTAATTTTGGCCGTCGATCCGTCTGTTTTGTTTTCTTGTGTTCGACATACAAGTCGCAAATATTTGAGAACATTTGTTGAAGTTTGGCATACTCACGTGCTTTCGCCCAAGGGCGAACGCTCTTGAAGTAGGTTCAGATCGGACCATTTTTTCGACCACTTTTTGTGTAAGGCCTCATTTTGAAAAGTCATCATATGAATAATCCTTTCAAGTGCAATGATGTACTGTACTATTTTTACTTGTTATTAATTAAGGCTTACAAAAATTTACTCAAAATTTAAAAATTGTTCACAAATAGGAACAAATTAAGGAACAGTAAAATGGTTCTTATATGTATTATGAACTTTAAGCATAGAACGTTTATAAGGTGGGGAAATATTTTTATAGGATTTCCCCATCTTTTGATGCAATTATTCCGTCGCTTTTATCCGCATCGTCCATTTTCTATTTGGGGATCCCTTACCAGGATTTGGGCGGGAAATAATTTCTATATCAAATTCTTAATTTAATTTAGGACAGAACATTGACTTAATGGTGTTATAAAGAAGATGTTATCTTATCTCTGAACCGTCGTGATCCAAAATTAATTTTCTTGTCAAAGTTCTTATCACTATTTAGCTATTTCCCTCCTAAGGCGTTAGATTTTATTGGATATTTTATCGAGATATTCTCCAAAAAAAAAAAAAAAAAAAAAAAAATAGATCTATGTGATCCAAATTTGATATAGTTAAGTTTTATATCAAAATACTATCGTCGAGCAAGTTGCATTATAAAATCCTAAAAATAAGGACCTTTTGCTTACTTATTTTAACTAACTTTATGGTAACTTAAGGGGTTTTGGTCCGAAAAATAGAACTACATGGTTCAAGTTTGATATAATTAATCTCTTTGTCTAAGTATTACTATTACGGATCAATTTTTATCATAAAAAAATGAAAAATTATGTTTTTTTATCTTTCTTAAAAACGTCCAGATGGAAGATGATTCAAAATATGAGCCCACTTAATACAAATTTTCCCCATTTACTTTGCATGCCAACATACTATAATGGATAAACGTTTTACGATCTTAGAAATTTTTTTCACATCAAAAAACCTTTTTTCAAATACCGCTTTAATGATGGGTGGAAAGGGGTCCGACACAATTCATTTTCAATAGCGCTTGTTTGTCGGCCCAAAATACCTCTGTATTCTAAATATTTACAAAATTGCAGCTTGTACGTTGAATACCAAAATACATGCTTAGGCAGCGGATTGACAGACGGACCGACAAACTTAAGCCCATTCAAAGAAAGATTCATGAAATGCTTCTGAATCAGTTATTATAATAAAAATTGATCGATTACAAATCTTTCTGGGTGATATATATATATATATATATATATATTGCACTCGCACAGACTTAATGTGCTTTGCGTTACAGTTGATATATTATACAATATAATGAATGACATTGCATCTACAAATAGTACAAATTAATTACAGCAGTTAATGCTAATTGAGTCTTGCTACTTACCTAATAAAATGATATAGAAGTAATTAAATCAAAAAACATAAGACGCTATGTACGCATTACTATAGACAGACACTTAATAGTGCAATATATACAATTATAGCTGTCATAAATGTAATAAAATAAATTAAATTATAATTAAATTTGTTTTTGATGGGTAAGGCAACACTTGTATTGGTTTAGAAAATATCTTAATTAACATTAATAAACGGAACTGGTTTAGTGCTATTTGTCCGTCTGATTTAATTACGATTACAAAGTATAACTTTTCCTGGAAAAATACTTTTAATCACACAAATTGCTATCTTATTATCACTGCCACCAGATTTACTTTGAAAATCAGTAAAATTTTCAATTCGGTCGCTATTACCGGGAAACTCATCACCAACTTCATCCTTCCTTCTTAAGTTATGATCTCAAAATTCTAATGCTTTCCGTTTAAAGCATCTTAACTGTTATATATTTATCTCTAATAAAATTTTTGGGTTCCATCTGCCCCAACTATCGAAAAACTATACACCTATTGGTTTAATTACCCATAAATTATTGATCTTTATATGCCAGGCCTCTGACTTCCTTTTATAATTATTGAAACGGATAACGGCTCTTGTCCCCGTAAGAGATAATTTAAAGTTCTGTTTAACTTCATCAATTCATCCGTGATATCAGTTATCTCTCAAGGTAACCATTTAGGGTCCTTTCTGCTTACCCTGTAATCTCGCAACCATATCTTAATGTTGTTAAGCTGTTTTCTTCCTTCTCCTTGAAATCGCATTCGCATCTCCTTCAACCTGAGTTAAGTAACTTGGTTACATAGTCCTCTCTAAATATCAATCAATTTTGTTCTTTTTATTTTCTTATTTTTTCTTTATTATATCGCATCACCGAGAGATGGTATTCATTTTGTAACGCTCAGAAGGAAGCATCGGAGACCCCACAAAGTATACATATTCTTGATCAGCATCAAATTCGAAATCAATTTAACCATGTCCGTCTGTATGTCCCTCCGTCTGTTGTAAACTTTCGCCTGGCCCCAAATATGACGCTATCGATTACAAATTTGATAGAAACATTGAGAGTTCTTGCTTATAGGTTAATATTGAAAATGGACCCCATCGGTCAAAACACACGTCCACAGTACTACGCAAGGTGGGAATAACTATATATATAAAAATGGGATTTTTGCTTATTACTTATAAAGTATGCCATATAAACGTATAAAAATTTGAAAGCATAATCTATGGACAATGTTGTTGTCCCTGCACAGAAATAGGAATAATTTGCCACGCCTACCCAATATAGCATAGTATATTAATGTGTTTTTTGTGATATTTTTATGACACGCGGAAATGAGCCTCAAAAACCCCATAAAATATATAAATTCTTGGTCAGTTTCAGTTTGGAATACATTTTAACATGGTCGTCTGTTCGTTTGTCCGTCTGTCCGTTTGTCTAATTGTGTGGTATCTGTAGTAGACATTCTCCCGTTAGCAGATCGTCTACAAGCTTGCAAAAGAATTTAAACTCGACGTGAATTTTTCAAAGGACACGCCTACAATGCCCAAATGTTTATGTGACAAAAAATCAGTCGGGCCCATCAACCTATGGTATTGAGCTCGACAATTTACTTCTTTTACTTGACTTTTAGTTTTTTAGGATAACGATGATGGGTATAAAAGATTCGGTCATGATCGAATATAATTTTCTTAACGTTTTTTGTTTAAATACTTTTTCATTATTATTAATAACACTTAACATCAGGTTTATATCTAACAGCCAATTAAATTCGGCTGTTAATTTATGTTAAATGAATTTTATGCGTAAATAAAATAAAAACAAGTAAGAAAGCTATATTCGGCAGAGGCCGAATCTCGTATACCCACCACTATGTTTTTCGCATTCTACTCTCCAAGTTCTTTTATTTTATACCCATATCGCAGGTATTATTAAGAATAAATTAATCGCAGTGTCTACCATATTCATTTTAAAATTAACCCATTTTTAGGCAGACAACACTTTCAATACAATATACTTTCATTTGAGGAGTGTACAAAATAGTTTTAAACTTTCCGTCTTCTTTGCCTAATGATAAATAAGCATAAAATCTCAAAAAGATGTAAAGAAAGCAAAATTTAATCACTTGTAACGTTGTGTGCAGGCGTGGCGGACGTTTTCCATTTTTGAACGTAACGAGTAGAATGTTTGGTAAAGTAAATGTGGAAAATTTCAGCTTTTTAATTTTTATCATTTCCGAGTAAAGTGCAAAAATTCAAATATGTTTTTAAAAAAAAAAAAAAAAAATTGCATTTAGTTTACGCTCCACTGCGCGCTTCTGCTCTGACCAATTGCGACCATTTTCAATACTAACCTGCTTGCAGAAACTTGCAATGTTTCTACTAAATTTGGAGTCGATATCTTCATTTTTGGGACGAGAAGAGAGCACAACACACAGACCACACAGACGGACGGACTTAGCTAAATCAACTCAGAATTTCGCATTCGAATTTCGAATTGTGATTGAAAAAAGATTTTTAATACTAATACACCCTTTATTGTTATTATTATTATTACTATAATATATGTATTATTAAAAACGAAAAACCCAAAAGCACGATGCAATCATTCCTCAAAATATTTCGCATATGGTAATTTGGTGAACACTTGACTAATTACTTTCCCCACAACCGCACCAAATTCTTTTTCCATTGAGGCTTTCAGTTCGCTAAAGATTTCCTTCCAATTGTCATTTAAAAATTTGTTCATATTGTCTCCCAATGCTTTATCGCCATTGAATAAATTATCGAAATGATATATAAAAGATTGCGGATCGATATGTAAATGAAAATCTTTCAATTTCATATACACGTCTCCATCTTTCTCATCAGCCACACCAACGAAATCAATGCCAAACACTGGGTTAACTAAAATCATAAAGATAATCATTAAATAAATAAATTAATTAATTAATTAATATGAAGACTCACCCAAAGTTAGATTGCTTTGGCCTTCACCTTGTATTGGTAAAATTAAAACTTTACCCGAAAGAACATAATTTCCTATTAGACTAACACTACCAGGCACTTGAATGGTTATTGAATGTTTTTTTGCCAAGTCTTTGCCAAAACCCCTGACAACAGATAAATGAAAGAAAAGCAATTATCATAATTATATCATAAGAATGAAAAACTTCGGATATCTTAATTTTGTTTTGATCAAAAAGCAAAGGTGATTTTCGAATTTCTTCAAAGCTCCTTCACCAGTTACTAGCTCGGAGTTTAAGAAGCACTAATGTTCGACCTACAATTACGTCTTTATATTAAAAGGAACTTCTTAAGTGCCATCTTTGAGTTGGGGAAGAGAGTAATTATAAACTGTACTCGAACTAAACAATACTAGTGGTCTCACAGTAATCGTGAACTTTTGGAGAATTTGGCAATTTTGGGAGAAATTTTGCTGATACTCTCGTCTTCATTCATTAGTTAAACTGCAGATTGATGCTTGCCAAGATCCTGCGGGCGGAAGCTTCCCTATTGACATACCATATGGAAACTGGAATTTGAACTGAAACGCGTCGGATACTCTTCTACGATTTTATAAGCGATTTTTGATAGATTAAGAAAAAAAGGCTTTTTTTTTTAAATCAATGTTTTCAAAAGGTTCTACGAGTTGCCCCAGACCATAAATCCTCATCGAACAAACTTTTTTTTTTTATTGTATGGTCGTCAGACGTAAGTGCTCTAAAACCGAATTGTATTTTTTTCGAGATCTTCTTCATAAGCATTTTCTTTTTAAAAATTGTTACAACATTTTCATTTTTGAAGACGCCTTTCAGGGTTTTCATGGGTATAGTTTGTCGGAATGTTGTATCCGTTCTGTATTCTTTAAATAGGCGAATGGAATAGCCTTAACGATCTAGGGAATTCCATTGCCACTTACGAAGAAAAAGTTAAAATTTTTTGATTCCCAACTCCTATTGGTCTGTTGCGAAGCGAGCGAGCATCCGACCCTTTAATTATGGCCAGGGAACAATTTACCAATTTATACAACTGCAGGAAGATTTCTTTCCAGCTTTCTCTACTAATAAAAGCCTCTTATGTCTTTTAAGCTTAAGAATGTAAGGAATTTAATCCAATTGCTAACGGAAGCGTAGACAACGAATGTGTAAATGGACATAATGAATGCGTTTGCTAGCGAAAGCACAGATATCAAATAGGAGTTATATTGCCTTAATGTGGATAGTGATCGATTATTATACATACGCCGCTTTCGTCACCACAGCATTGCTTAGTCCATAAATTTTGTTATTTGTAAGGATAACATCTACGTTGACGGGACTATCGGTTCCTTGATTAATGCGTACCTTATTCGGCATCAGAGGATCCAATTGAGACAAATTGATGGAATTATCTCCTAAAATTTTATACAAAATGCTTTTCTTTAAGATTTTTTCTTTTCACAAAAAAACTCTGCGTTACCTTTCTTGCTTAGAAAAAAAGTGGCAACTTTTTTTATGCACTCAGTGTCACCGTATTTGCAAGGCTTGGGATCATTTGCTGAAATATAATTTAGTTTTTATCCAAACATTAAATTATTAATTCCTTCTTTTTTTTCGTTTTTGATGCAATAACTTACGAAACTCGGCTTTAAGGGATGCACACAATAATCCGATTAATAGAGTTTTAAGCGATAGAGTCAACATTTTTTCTTCCGTATATCACTGGACTTCACTTCACTTCGCTTTCAAATTTACTCTGACTTTTAAAACACAATCTTCGTTTTTTATATACAAAATATCACTATTGATGACGTGTGCTATATTAATTTTCTGAATGAATTTGCAACCTATTTACATTGACCGATTTCGTCTGATCACGATTGATGGCGGAATGACAAGCATAATGCTAAGCTATTGTATGTTAATGCAATTGTTTGCTTGGTAAACTTTACATAGACCTTTTATTGTTTAAAAAAAATAGGGAGAAAACTCATCATCTCGGTTATCCCATTTCTTTTTCCTTTTTCCATTTGTAGTAAATTTTAACTTCACATGGTTTGATTAAAATTATAGTCGAGAATTATGACCAGATTTTGGTAAATATGAAATTTTAGAGCGATATCTCTTACAACTGTTTGGGTTATCAGCTATTGCAGTTGCACTCAGTTTTTCTTTGGTTCTCGTGGGGGCTTATTCATCGCCTTGTTACCATTTAGAACCTACAACTACGTACTCGCACTGGTCTTTACGAAAATTTCAAACGCCCTTAACGAAACGGTTTAATGGATAGATAAGGTTTCACACTTCTGACATGACAAAACTGATTCAGAATCACGCCCATTTGCAACTTACAATTACGCCGACGCATTGAATTAATTCTTTATGACTATTTCAAAAGCAATTAACGAAACGGTTTAATCGATAAATCAGGCTTCAAACATTTTACATGGTAAAACTGATTCAGGATCACATTCTGTTCAGGAATTTCCGATCTTTCCACATGGGGTTAAGTGGACTGGCATGTCCCTAGTTTAATCGTGGAATCCTTCTTTCATCGTTGTGATGATTTATCTAACGTCATATCATCTGACATTTGAAAAAAGTCTTGAAAGTAACTTTGATTTAATGTTTAATCAATGGTAGAAGAACTTGTGAAACTCAAAAGCCTAGGCAGTTACAAGGCCTTAACAAACATCGCTAAGTAATAATCGGAGTTTACCACGAATATCAATGCAATGATAGGAGAATCTATAAAGCACGAAAGGCTGGCAAAGTACAAGGTTTTGTTTATGGAAGTTTACCTTGAATTTTAACTTATAAATATCTACCTGATGAAGAATTCTAAGATTAAAGAATCGAAAGAATATTTTATTAACCATTTACTGGCGGACTATATTATCATATTCTTACAGGTAATTGGATGAGTATTTAAATGAAAGTGTGTGATCGTGGTCTACCATTATTTTATTTATCGCTAATTTTGATTTATTTGCAAAGATTATTAGCAAAATTGTAAAAATTAATTCCACAACGGCTTTTACGCGAACCAGTTTTTCTTTAAACATACATGTAATAGTGAGTGTACATGTAAAAGCTTCTAAGTTTTAAAATGTTATAATTTCAAATTAAATCTTTCAATCTCTATGTTTAGTATTCAACTTTAGATAAACTTGAAAATAAAATTATTTTCAAATAATTATCAGTAGATTTTAGTAAAATTCATGGGTGTCGGTCAGGGACAAATTAACGACTTGACTCGTTTTCTGAGAAAGTTTTTACGATTTACAAGTTCGTAAACGTCTCTCTTAACATTTTCAATCTTACTTTGTAGTTAATTCTCTCTGTAAAACGAAATTTCCATTACCTTCTCTGACCACTTGTTAAAAATGCTAAATGCTTTAAGAGCTGAAAATACAGAAAATTATCTCTTGATTACGACGCTTTAATAATAACATTGAACTTGTGCGAAATATTATGTTGTACGTGTGCATGTAAGCCGGAAAAGAATTTATATATATAACGCTTCTTAACTGCGCACACAAGAGAACCGTTGCGAATTACATATATGCAGGACGATTAATTTGAAAATTCTCGTCACTCAGATGATATATTTGCAATAACACTCGATATTCGATCTATTTAATGGACAAAATTGTAATTAAAAAAAACAAACAACAACACTAAGGCTAGGCAAGGCCGGGAGTTTCATACCTTATACCACTTGGCTTAATAAAATTCTTCATTTATGTTCGTGATGAAAACGTATTAGAAGTGATACCTTCTTGTCTTTTATGTGTGGGGACTCAAACTTGGGCCGACGCAGTTTAAACTTACTAAAAGGAATTATCTTGTAAAAATTCTTGTCATCCGTCACTTATTTTTGTTACATAGTACTAAACATTAGATTTTTTTGCACTATAAGGGCTTACTTTTTTTGAGAATTCTTTTACGAGGATTAAATCTACGATAAAGCGATAGCGATAGATACTTATGCAATCCTAAGTTCGTATAGTTTATCAAATTACATTTATGAACGGATATGCAAACGTTTTTTTTTTGCCATATAAAGGCTTTCTTCTCTAGGATACGATTGGCAATTTTATAAAAATTATATAAAATATTTATTTGAATCCTTGTTACACAAAAAAAAAAAAGGATCTATTAAATATTTTCGAGGTAATCACGCAGCTCAAAGTGAGCTTTCGTTTTTGGATTAGGCTGTTTTCGGCGAACATCTGAATATCACAGCAAAAGGCCAATTTTTCATTTGAGGCTACTGACATTGACCATGATATGTTGAATGTAAAGGAAAAAAAATATTAAGAAAGCTTTCAATAGAAGCGAAGACTTTATTACAACAACAAGCACTGCCAACAGTGAAATTTCTGGAAAATTAATGAAAATTTTTATTTAAAAGCTTGTTACTGCATGTTATCAATTATTTTTTATCTATCAGTTATGGCAATGCTGTCATGATCCGCGCGCGTGTTTTATATTAAAGTTTTACTCTCGTGACTTCTTTAATGACGCAAATCAAAAAAGTGATAAATAATTTTATTTAAAATGTGTTTCTTGATTGCGTTGGAGTCCTTCTTTGTAAGATTCCGTGCTGCATAACTTTTTACATGCTTCGAATCAATCTACAATTTTGTTAGTGTTAACACTTTTATTCTGCCTTGAGGCTATGTGAGTTATTTTTTTTACTAATGTGCTAGGCGGCTTTTTAATCTAGTAGTTCCAGTTGGTCACGTTACTATTTAAACTCAACGGGTATCTATCCAAAAACTTGAGTAGACATATCTCTTTAAGTTTGATCAAGCTGCGCATACGGGGATTCCACATTCTCTGTTACTTCTGATCTATTTTCTATTTCTTAATATATTGAAGCGAGATTTCTGGTGAAATTTTTATTTTGACTATAAGTGACACATAATTGGAATTTGTTTATGTTTTTGGATTAGTTTGCTAATGTTGTATACATGTTTGTTTCCGACGTCCTAAGATGTCTTTGGCAAAAACTTTCGATCAGCAGATAGCTAGCAAGATAGTTCCATCAGTAGGTCAGTATATCAGTAGCAAAGGGCTTCTTTAAATCGAAAATAAATAATTTAATAAACAGGATCGATCAGTTGGATTGTGCAGCTAACTGAACTCAAACAAGAGACTTATATATGTATATATATATATATAATATATATATATACATGTCACTTAAGTCACGCTAATGATTAGTAAACAATTATTAACGTTTTACTAAAGGGTATTAAACGGTAAAGTGTTCTAAGGTGTATTGCGATTCTGAGCCGATATATATAGACAGTTGGTCGCTAAAAGAAATAATGTGTGAGTACGAGCGAAACTTAATGCAGAAGCAAATGTCTGTTTAGGTATATCTACATAGTAAATATTAATAGCACAATCATTCTACGCAACTGCTATATATATTAGTGGCACGTGCCTAACTTAAGTCACTACAAGGCAGCTTAATCCATATATTTTGATATTTGAGATGGTGATGTTCAAATTGATGCGACTTTTCTTTGACTGTAAAGAATCCACTAGAGGTATTTTAATGGACCTATTACCGGAACTTCAATTTAAAACGTTTTCTTCTATACGACCGTACACACGGGTTACCTGCGCTTCTTGTTCTGTTCTCCTATGAAAATATATTCTATATAGTGGCTATCACATAATTTTACTCGAGTACTTCCTTCCGCACTAAGTCATTATACCCTATTTCTGGTACAGGGTATATTAAGTTTGCTTGCAACCAGAAGGGCTTGACCATCTTTTCTGGGATCGATTTCTTAAATCGACCTAAGCTTGCCTATCCGTCTGGTCTATGTCAATGTGAGTTCAATAGGTCGTAATTTTTAGGTTATTTTGATGAAATTTCGTACACTTGCCACTTTTTCGATCACTCCCCATATAACGATTTATTTTGACAAGGCGTCTTGTTTTTCTTGATGCGAATACAGATAAAGTCAATAGTGGTTTCTTGACGCCATTAGTGCGCCTGGATTTGTTTAAACCCTTTAACCTTGAAAGAGCTTTTTAGGTTTTCTAGATTTGCTTGCATGCTTATTTATTCGCATTTAGCTAGAAGAACTCATTTCGTTAATATTGATGGATTTTACACCGAAATACTTCTCTGGGGTGCTCCAGAGTTCCGTTTTAGGCTCTTTTCTTTTTATTATAAAGGTTAAATACCTTTGACAATAAACAACCTTTGATATCTGTTTGCGAACGATGTCTTTCTTCTATCCGCCGCGAACCGGAGTAATTGTGTTGTTCTCAAATGAAACATTAATTATAGTGTTAAGCGGTTTTTTGCTATGGTCAACTCGTCATTTATTAATTCGATTAAGAAGAAAGCAATGCCTTTTGCAAACACTGAGTATCATCTTCCGTGAGTCAATATTTTTATTGATGAGAATAGAATAGCGATTGGTTTGAATGCTTCGGCTTATACATTGATCATCGCCTCACTTTTAAAGACCATATAGATCACGTACATGGTGAAATCTTCGTAATTTTGCGCAGAGTTTATTCTAATAATATTTATTTCCATCAGCGGGCTAAATATAAATTGGCGTACGCTCCCTTGAGGTCGCATTTTTAAACGGCTCGGAGGTCGTATCTGGCATTATGTCTTATACATCTTCTAGATTAAGTCGAATCGCTAATACTATTGGTGCGTTATGTTTACAGCGGTCTAAAGTCGCGAATGCAGTATCAAATGTATGGCCAGATGTACACTGCATTCCACGCAAGATAATGATAATAAGGCCAATATGATAATTTTCGTCAGATTGTATCGCACACATTTTGACGTTTCATTTGTATTTGTATTACGTACGATATTGTGTTGACGCATTACATTAGACACTGATTTGATGAATTATTCTTTTCTTTTTCATTAATTTATTGTTTGTATACAATTTGATCATAAATTGATTTTTTCATTTGCTTATTACTATAATAAAATTTTAAGCTAATTGTGTGCTTGATTTTCAATGCTAATTAACTAGTTTTTTAAATAAATTCATTAAAAGTAAAGTCAGTAAAGTCATTATAATTGAAAATGAATTATTTCGACCATTACTCATTAAAATATTTTGCATATGGATATTTGGCTAACACTTTATGAACTACTTTTCCAACAACGACACCAAATTCTTTATCCAGTGAGTCTTCTAATTCGGTAAAGATTTCCTTCCAGTTTTCATTCAAAAATTTGTTCATATTATCTCCCAATGCTTTATCTCCATTGAACAAATTCTCGAAATCAAATATTATGGACTTGGGATCAGCATAACAATGAAAATTTTCCAATTTCATATAAGTATTGCCGTCGCTTTCTTCAGGAGCACCAGTGAAATCAATTCTAAATTCCGCGTCAACTGAATGACCAGAGAATTTGTGTACATAAAAAAAAGTGATAAATAATTAAATTGAAAGGGAAACTCACCGAAAGTTATGTTGCTTTTGCCTTCTCCTTGCATTGGCAAAATTAAAACTTTACCCGAAACGGCATATTCTCCTATTAAACTAATCGGACCAGGCACTTTAATCACTAGAGAATTCTTTTTTGTGAAGTCTTTACCAAAACCCCTAAAAAAAGGAAATTTGAAATATAGACCAACCAATTATCACAATTACAGCATATGTTTGGACGGAAGTAATTAGGGTGGAACCCGTTATTTGGCTTGAGCACAAAACAATGGGGTTTTTAAAAGGTTTCTCGGGGTTCTTTATACGCTTTTATTACGACCGGTTGTAGTTTGAGAAACGTTGGCGGAACGCTTCGTTGAGTAGTGTTTTCAACTCGATCCACATTTACGACTTTATCTTAATCCGCTCTTGAAAAAGATCCTTTTTTCAGCGAACGATGCGATCTTAAACGGTTTCCAGCCAAACTTCAAGACTATTTCAATTCAATTGGTGATCAATTAGCTACAGCGCAGAGTTTTTTTATTCCCTGCACCATTTTTGGAATAAGGTATATTAAGTTTGGACGGACATATGTAACACCCAGAGAGGCCTAAGACGTACCCACTTTTTATTATACTGATCGATTCAGAATAGTTCTATCCTTGTCCGTCCGTCTGTCTATCTTTTCCGCATATGGAAAGCAATTGAAAAAATGAACCCATCCGATCCAGTTCCAGTGTAGTAAACTCAATGAAAATGGGTTAAAGATTGCGATTTGTAGGATGAACCCAAGAAAACAAAATGGACGGAAAATAATTCTGTATCAACTTCTATAATAAAATGTGGGTCTACCTCAAGTTCTTCTCGGCACACAAACTTAACAATCCTTTGTATCATACGCAATGTACGGCATAACCAGTAAAACCGTTACAGTCGAGAAAGACCTTCATTAAATGCCTTGCATCACTCTAGTCTAGTCTACTCTGATTATTCATTCATTTTAGGTAGACTATACACCAAAAATTGCACTTTGTTTTTCGGTAGCGGGACGCTTTTTATGAGAGCCCCTATGAGTGAGTTTGTAAAATGCGGACAATTCAAAGTCGGTTGATTGATTTATTTGTTTATAATAAATTTTCATTCAAGAAATTCAAAGTTGGATTTTTTTTCGGGAGAAGGAAGATGTCCAAAAATTGTCCCATCTCCTATTCCCAGAATGCCGAAGTACTATTATTAATCTAATATTGAAAGATGAAATCTTCTATATGACGAACACAAGGGGTTTTAAGGAGAGCGGTCATGAAAGTGACCTGACACAATTTATTTCTAATCGGGCCCGTCCTTGGTTCAAAACCCGCGAATGTACCCAATTTCGTTAAAAATGTCTTAAAAATTGCGGTCTTTACATTGAAGACAAGACATCAGACGGACGCAGAAGTTTCGATTCAGCATAAGTTTCTGAATGCGTAAGTTCTCATATCCTTCAAGTTATTAAATACATCCGCACAAATTTAGCATATTTTGCCCAACCGGCGGTGTAAGATCTAGTAATTGAACTCTCTAAAGACTGCGTGGAGGCATTTGCCTGGCAATGTTCGAAACTGCAAAATTTTTCTTTATTTTTTGATCAAAATACTTCAATAATGATCGATCCGATCGAGAGGGAGTTCTGTCAACGTTGCAGAGGAAAAGCCTTATCAAAAAAATAAAATCTTCCTACGCCTTTTAAGCTTAAGAACATCTTTAAATCTAAGGATATAAGCACTTAAGTGCTGAATGTAGAAATGATTAAGAGGATTGGATTGCCTTAATCTGGATGACGATCATTATACGTACTTTACATTGGTTACTATGGCGTTGCTTACTCCATAAAGTTTGTTATTGGTTAACGTGAAATCTATGTTAAGAGGACTCTCGGCGCCTTGCCTGATGTGTATCGTATCCAGAGTCAAAGGATCCACCGGAACCAAACCGATGGAACTGTCTCCTGAAATTGAAATCAATATATTTTTTTCAAGAATTTAGTGCAAAAACGCTTGGTTACTCGCCTTCCTTCTTACGTATGAAGAGATTAGCAACCTTTTTTATGCACTCAGTGTCACCATAATTACAAGGCTTAGGATCATTTGCTAAAACATAGTTTAGTTTATCAAGATATCAAATTTTATTTCAAATTTTTTTTTTTTATCCTTTCGTAATTTTGACACAATGTCAATAAGTTACTTACGAAATTGCGCTCTAAGAGATGCACACAATAATACAATTAATAGGAACTTCAGCGAAAGGTTCAACATTTTGTCTCCGGTACAATAGTGAACTATACTTCACTTCAAGTTTTATTCTGATTTTTTAATCGAAATAGCTTCCGGCTTTTATAAGACAAAAGCGCTATTACTTGCAAGTGTGGTATTAAACTGTTGCATATGGTTGTAACATTTTTTAAGTGAATTTAGTTGAATTCATTTCTATTTACCATACAATGGCTGTTACGAGATAGGTAGATTGAACCAATCGATTACGGCGACCTATCGTATAAGTCAAGATGAAGCAGTTAGGAAAGTCTATTCATTAACAGTTGCAAAGCATTATTTCGGAAATGTACGGGTGTTAGTAGACTAAAAGAAAGGTTCACGGTTCCAATCCTGTTAAATATTTGAAAGCAATTTCACATCGATACTTATTGTAACCAGATTTTTCGATCATTCAGCTTTTGTAGACTTGAAAGGTACTAATCGCATGTATGTTAAAGCTTGGTTTTCGAGTAAAAGCATACGTATTGTATCCTAGCTTTCTGCGACCGTTAGAGTCTTAGCAATATCCGGCGGGCACATAAGAAAAGGGACAGCGAGTTTTCTTAAACCAATTCAGAATTTTCTTATGACTAAGAATTTTTTTTTACTTTTAGAATATCTTTGATGCACCTGTTTGGATGCCATTCATGGGTAGCGATGCTTCCATGAATTCTTTGATGAAAAGTAGAACGCACAGAAATTGTTATATAATTTAATTTCCCAGTCAATGACCGAAGAACTTATTGCAAACTACTTCGGCTATAGGATTGTTCCCTTACGGTTTTCGTCCAAAAAAGCTTATAACTGTATATATATTTTTTTTTGATATGTGTTAAGTAATTAAGAAGGTTTAGGTGGCATTTGAGCGTAATTAATTGGTTCAGGCATAAGCCGTAAATCTACTCGGCTACGTCTTTTATATCTATTTGCGAAGTTTTGTTCAGGATAGATTAGGCCACGCTTAGTAGATAGGTAGGATAAATATGTTATCGAGGTTAACTTTATCCTTTATTTTATTGTTAATTTTAACTTAATTATAGACAATATTGATTTATTTACATAATAAAACTAAATTGTTAATTAAGTGAAATTATTAGCAAATTATAAAATGATCAAGCAATGAACCCCATTACGAATCAAGTTAATTCAGTTAAACATTAATAGAAAAGATTACCTTTGTTACATTGTTGGGAATAGATGGTGAAACGTCTGTAACATTGTTAAATGAAACCTAATGAACTGTCTATCCCATTTAGACAGTAATTGTTTGTATTTTTCCATTAAGTGCATTGAACTTTGCAATAATTATACAAACATATAATTTAAGAGTATAATTTTCTATTAGGTTAAGAGAGTGTCAATATTGCAACAATAGATATTTCGTAGGCAGACGGTTTCAATTGTCTCTGTCTGTCGTCGTGTTTTAACTTGGCAAGAATAAATTAGCCTCAAATAAAGTGCGAGGGACAGCGGTTCGTCTCAATACGCTCCTGCAATTAGTTTTGATATAAAATATCAAAAAGAACGCTTGCATGGGAAGATTGCGAAATATATGTTTATATAGTCCAAGTATACCTCTAGCATGTCACTCGCTCGTTGGGACCCTAAAGTGGGTTTCCTGTCCTGCTTAATAGCGGTCTACTGTAAGAGGGTCCATAGAATTTTTATAGCTTGTGTCGCCACAATCAGGACTTCATTGGCGAATTGCTATTCCGTTAGTATTGCTAAATAAAGCTTTAATATTAATAGCAAATAAGCGTCTTGTTGACTGAGAATAATTGAACGGATGGCTCAGTTTTTTTTCGTGTTAATTTTTATTTTTATTTTAATCTACGTAATTAAATTTTTTTTTTTTTATATAAGAGAAAAAAGACAAAAAATTAATGCAACTCATCCAGTGACATCCCACAACGAAGCCGAATTCTTCTAGTTTCGCTGAACTGAGAAAGGATGGTTGAAACGCTTGGAACGCCTAGAAGAACGCTTCGGAAACCCCATAAAATGATTTAAGCATGCCCCTTTGTCCGTCTGTATGTCTAGTAGCTCGCCCGCCGTGTCAGTGCAATGCCCGAAGCTAAAATATCTTGATGAAGGGTAGCCCGGCTTTGTATGGGGGATTGCCGGGATTGTATGGTTAATCCGAAGGCAAGAGTGTTCTGACACCGTTCAGTCGCGTAAAGTAATGCTAAAGGCTTTATAGTCTAACTTTAAGCACCACGGGCGTCAGGAGCCCGCTCACAAAGCCATGTATACCTGCGAGTAGAAGTGAAAGCAACAAATAATAATATAAAAGGGATTTGGCGGAAGGCTTTACTAACCCTTTTGCCTTAAATGAAATGTTCACAATGTCTGCGGGTAATGGTGGCAATATTGATTAACTGCGATCTTGCGGAAACTGCGGTGGGACAAGCTTATCCCTTTTGAGCGCAGCAGTTTATCAATATGTGAGCTCTGACTGCTTGGGTACGGCCCTTCGGGGAGTATTCGCGGTGGTTGTGGTTTTCACTGTTCCAAGCCAAAGTGGAATAAATCGAGGTGAGAATAGGCCTCTATACTGACCAGAGTGGGTTTATTGAACCATACACAATAAACAATCTGGACTCCAGTGTTGTTTAGATCGCTAGTTTATAGGGATTGTCTAACTTTCTAGAGGGCGTGGGTCACGTTTAAATAACCTGTGTGCCTTGGGCCACCGTGGAGTTAAGCCATCATGGCAGGAACCCACGCTAAACCCTTGACACAATCTGTCTGTTTAAAAAGTTTTCTTGGCCGCAAAAATAAAGCCATCGGCTTCAAATTTGACAGAAACATTGAGAATTCTCGCGCCGATTAGTTTTAAAAACGGGTCAGGCCGGTCAAAGGACGCGACCGCAGTGCAATATAACCTGGGACCACCGCTGCTTTCAACAATGAAAGTAATTTCATATTTTGCTCGTTGCTTATAAACCATAGCAGACAGGCCTACATGGCTAAATCAACTCATGGTTTCGCGCTGATCAATAACATATATACTTTATAAGGTCTCGGGTGTTACATACATTATGGAAGAACACAAAATCAGTCAGAAATATTACGAATTAATTTCAAATAAGTTATCTTATGCATTAGTCGGTCTTTTACAAAGTAGTCATTTTGACTGCCCTTATGCGCAGTGTACACTAAATTTCAGTCTTTCTTATGCTCACTGAACTAAATCCATAAGGATCACACGTGTTGATGTATCCGTAGATACTCTGCTCAACCAATGATGACTATTCTCTAAAACATAAACATAAATTGTAATCTCACTATAATGATGAAGGACAAAGAAAATTTACTTTAATCCATCATACATAACATTACTTATTTATTTATTCATTACTGGCTGCCACTTATATTCAGTGGAGTTCACCACCTTTCTTACGGTTAAAGGGTTAAATTACGAAGGAGGAGATCATTGATCAAAAGTACAGTAAAGTTTAAAGTTAACATCTTCTTTTTTTTTTCTTACCATATTGTTAGGCTTACAATACTATACTCGGAACGGGCTAACATTATGACTATATAGCAAAGAAAATGAATAATAAGCAAACAACGAAGTTGCTAAAAGTAAACAGTGTGTTATATTTTCAGGCTTGAAACTATTAGCAATCGAACATGGCCTAAGTAATCACACGTATGGCTGCTTACTACAAAGTATACTCTGTTGTGCAGAGATCGAAGCTCCCGTCGACCGATTAGGCAGTCATTAATTTCGCTCACTCAGCTATGCTGTAGCTTTATTAGAAATAAAAAACTCATCAATAAATTACGTTATTTAAAACGAAAGCGAAATTATTAGGCACGAGTCTTATTCGCTGAAATCGATAGAAATTCTCTTTATCCGGAAATATGAAAATTAATCGACAGCTGTACTTACTTAAGCGGGAGACAATAACATTAGGTATTGAATCGTAACCTGTGTCTCGCAATTTATAGTAATTGAATCTCATAATATCAATTACATAACATCAATACTAAATAATTAAACACTGTAAATTTTAAATGAAATATAGGGCTGTCCCATAAGTTTTTCACCGTCTTCTGTCTGACTTCGAGCCGGCTTTTTTTGCAGGTTTATCTAATGTTGGTTTATTTCATCGATTTCAGTCCTCTCAAAGCTCTTTCAAATTACCTTTTGTTGGTGACAAAGTCGCTTTTCAAATATTCTTGTGCGCCATTCAATGTGGATAGCCAAGGGAAGCATTTGCGGCATGAATTGCTTCGTTGCTTTAAGAAAGTAGCAGTGCAAAGGATGCGGCAGGTGAGATTTACACCGTTTATCGAAGTTTGTTTAAGAAATTTAGAGCATCAAAAGTATTCTCGCCGGAAATTCCGCGACAAAGTAAGCGCGAGATAGTGGATGTTACTAAAATTTCCAGGGTGACGTTACACACTCGTCTAATCAAGATGGAATAGATCGTCTATTGCTTTCGCATCAAAAAAAGGGAAGAAACTTATGGGACACCCTAATATGAATAATAACCTACTCAGTTTCTCCGTTAGCGAAGAGCCCTTGCCTCTCTGAAAACCTGCTAAGAGATTTACTACTTCAACTTTTACTCACTTCATTCAAACGATTCCACATTATTGTTGAGATTTATCAAAATACCAACAAGTACGAACGTTACAGTCAGGCAAGTCCGGCCGTTAAATAACCTACAGAACTTTGCCTAACATAGTCATTAGCGATAACATAACCAAAGTTATAAATTATTTTTACGTCAAGGCATACATTCAATGAAATCCTTTGTAGTGGAGGAGCTCAAACGTCAGCTAACATGGTCCAAATTTACCAATTTTTTTTGTATGTCAAAGATTTTATTTACTCACTTGCTTCGATCGTGAGAAACTACGTATTAGATTTTGTCGCCATAAAAGACCTTCTTTTGCTTGAGTGCCTGCACGCATGGTGGGATATAGAAAGATAGACTAATGGGATCCAAATTCCCTGCAATTAATTTTACTGTTACTATAGGCTAAATGCTAAAAATTAAATAAATTGCCAAACTTTTTTGCAAAACATTGCTTTACTATCCATGAAAATCCTTCTATGGAATTGCGTCCAGAAAAGAGATCCATATAGTTAAAATTTGCTCCTATTCATTACCAAATTACTATTACGAGCAAATTTTCATCATAAGCCACTTACTTTTCGTTGAAGAACATATATAGGGTGAGATCTAAAATAGAGATTCAAGAACCGAAAATTCAGCAGAATTACTTTTTATCTCGCATTGTTACTACGGACGACGTTGGAGCAAGAAATATTGAAAATGAGGTCTTTTTAACATGCAAAGGTTTAGTTTCAGCGAAAAGGCTTATCTGGCAGAAAATTCAAAATTTGGCAATTTAGAACGCCGGAATCCTATTACTCAGCGATTTTTCTGGAAATTACAGTATTTTTTCATGTAACGAGTTTTCAAAATGAGGTGTTATATGGGAAGTGGTCGAAAGAGCACTTCAGTAAAACATCTCAAAAATTGCGAACTGTAGGTTGAAGACGCGAAACGGACACACAGACTGACAGATAAAATTAAGTCGATGCACAAGGTGTCTGAATCGATCGGCATAATAAAAAGTGGAACACAAGAATGGAATACATGGGCAGATATCGCACGGGCAGATGGACAGAGAAGCTTATGTCAACTCAGAAAATAGTTCTGAAACGGTATGAACAAAAGTGGGGCTACTTTAGGTCCTTCTGGATTTACATAGTCTCAAGGTATATGTTATGAAGTTTCTTGTTTTCTATTGGAAATCTGTGTGTACAATGTGTATAAAAATGCCATCAACAACGAATGACCAGTGATTTTGGTTAGCAATGATCATAAGAGCAATGGACAGTAATGTCGAGTCAGAGTTGTGTTTTTTAACAGGAACAAATTGACGGAAACTATTAAAAATTTGGTTATGTGCTGACAATATTCGTTTTGAATACACAAAAAAATTGATTTGTATTTATTATTAGAAGAAGTGTCCGTAAGAAAATATTTAACACCCTCCCCCCCATATCGCTCGAACTAGCTGGCTCAGTAATGATACGTGCGTTTGTCTCTACGACCGCCCATCCCCTTCAAATAGCCCTGAAAATAATAAAGTTAGTATTCCGATAGTTCGACAGATAGAAAGGATTATTAGAGAAATCATAGCTGTTACACCGTATCTAATTAATAGGAAACAAACCGACAGTTTTTGCTAACAGAAAAACAAATCATTTCTTACAATGATATCTTTGAATAGATTTCCCACAAGGTTGAATTTACTCCAGGCAGATGTCCCAAAGTTAACTATTTTCTGCAAAAATAAACGGAAAGTTAATACTTCTGGCGAAACGCCCGGTTGTTATGTAATATACATATATATATATATATATATATATGGTATAGCTATACACTCGGCTATACTGGACCAAGATATTTTGTATGACATAGCGCAGTTATTCCGATTTGTTTGGATATTTGCTGGAATATTTAACTATAAAATTACAATTGAATCAAAATATTTTCAAAATTTGTTTATTGAAAACCTTGATCAGTTATTTGAATGTTATTAAGAAGGTTAGACATTTACCCAGGAGAAAATAAAGAAGTCTTGGTGTGATCGTTGTATTACATATATTTAAATGATATCATTCAAAACTCCTCCGGCCTTAAGTTGAAATCAACACGATAAACATTTTATTCGTTGAAATATTTCGCATATGGATATTTATTGAAAACCTCATCAATAATATGCTTGAAAACTGCGCCAAATGATTTATCGAACGGTACACGTAGTTCGTCAAAGACTTCCTTCCAGTTTTCATTCACAAATTTATTCACAGTATCTCCCAACACTTTATCGCCGTTGAATAAATTATCGAATTGATATATTACGCGCTTCGTTTCAGGATGCAATCGAAAATTTGTCAATTTCATAAAAGTATTGCCATCCTTTTCTTCTGGAATACCTTTAAAACTAATATGAAATTCGGGATCAACTGAAATATATTGAAAGTTATTTAAAGAGAAGCGAAAAATACATCTTTCAACAAGAAAGCTTACCCATAGTGACATTACATGTACCCTCGCCTTGTACTGGAAAAATTAATATTTTACCCGAAATGGCATAGTTGCCTACCAAAGTAACTCTGGGCATTTTGAATATCACTTCATGTTTTGTTGCCAAGTCTTTACCAAAACCGCTAAATAAAGACAAAGAAGAACATTATAGAGCTGACCGATAAGGAAATTAATTATTCTTAAAAGTAAAAATCAAATTTTAGTTGTAGGAGGAACGCAAAGCTTCTCTGTGTTGCTCGCATATATTCGTATGTCTGTCTTAGTTTAAATTCTTGCCTAAAGTTGCTTTTATATTAATTGAAGGAAATCTTAGATTGATTATTCGCCATTTTTATGCAGACGGTTCCTTTAGCAACCGTGCTTCAATATCTCTTTTAAGTCTTTGTTGTAATATACGGACTAATGGGTATTAACCAAACTTCATAAGGATGTAATTTGACGCTCTGGTACAGTCTTTGGGTTTATTTGTTAGGACTTGGTTAACATACGTACATAACCTCTTTCGCCACGGCTTTGCTCAATCCTAAAATTTGGCTATTACTGAAAGTGAGATTTAACTGAACGGGTCCGTCGCCTCCTTGAGTAATGTATATGTCCTCCGGAATTAAAGGATCGATTGGAAGCAAATTGATGGAGCTATCCCCTGAAATTTGTGTCATTAAAAAAGTAACATGCGAAACAATTTGATCTAGATAAAGTTACACTACTTGCCTTCTTTCTTTTCTTGGACTAAGTAATTAAATAATTTTTTTATACATTCACTGTCACCGTAATTACAAGGCTTAGGATCATTTGCTGTAACATGGATATTAGAAATTATATTCCACTTTGGTTTCATGTATCTTTTTTTTATCTTATCATATTTTTAACGCGAACTTACGAAACTCTGCTTTAAGGGATGCACACAATAATCCGATTAATAGACATTTTGCCGAGAATGTCAACATATTTTCTTCCGTTTATCACTTAACCGTGCTTCACTTTAAGGCTACTTTAAGATTTATTCTAGATTTTATGCTCAAACTGTTTCAGTCTTTTATAAGCAAAAAATCACGATTAGAGCCAAGTAGTATGTTAACTTTTTAATATCGTTTGTAACACTCTTATTCAATTCATCTTACAGTGACTGTTGTGGAATAAGTAATTTAAGTCGATGTAAGCAAGGTATGCGATCAAATTGAAAGAGTAGCCCACGCGGTAGTAATCGTCAAGTGCTGAGCAGTGTTATCTTTTAATGAGGTAGTCGAAAGAAATCCTGTGCCGAAATATATACTGACTTGGCTGGGAATTTTAGGTATATGCCACATTTTAATTTCCAATTTCCATTACCCGACGAATGACTCGATCGAAGAAAAGACGGCTAGATAAGAGTCAATGTTAAATACAGGGACGTTTAGTAGGCGAATAAGTAAATAAACGATCGATTCATAATCTTATCCTAATCAAGAATTTATTATATCCATAACTAGCCGCTGTATACGCGGATTGAGATATTTAATCATTTTTCCTTACCTCCTTTGACGGTAAATATAAAATTCATTACATATAGCATTTTACCAATCAATGACTGGAAAATCTATTTAAAAAAAAAAAAACATCTAATCGGCAACTTTGATTTTCAGGTGTCGTGATCGAGACCCATTTGAAGAGTACTTGAGTCAATCATCAACGTTATAACTTATCCGTATTGACATTTGTTATTAGAGTTCTCGAAAATCACTTTATTCGCATTCAATTTTGTCTTTGACGTTTTTCTCACCTCGTCTATTGCTTCAAGAACTTTCAGACAACGTAGGGCATTTAAGTAACCGAGATAGACCATTTTTTTACAAACAATTAACTAAGCAAATTATCAGAAGTGTTACTAGTAGAAATATTATAAAATATATCTTACAACGGGTTATATATTAATAATTGCATCAATAAGTCTAATAAACAAGTGATATTGACATATGTATGGAGAACATATGTGCAGGTGTACAAATATGAAATATAAATTTTTTTTTCGAAAATTTACATCAAATCCAACGGAATAATCAACGGCTAATTCCGATGATTTACGGATACAATGCCAGTAGAAATATTTTGCTTTTGCCGAGAACTATTCATCGAGGAATTTGTTTTATTTCTTCGTACGAGCCAAAGTGCTCCTCAACGCGCGTGTGCTCTGCCGATGGAAGCAAATGGTAATCAGAAGAACATGAGTCTCGTCAGAAAACCACATGGGTTTGCATTTGTGTGCTTCCAAACCGTCAAGGACCGATTCTCATATCGATTAATTCTTGTTGGTAACCTTTGATTTGAGGCTTTTTACCTGGCTTTAGCAACTCACCATTGGATCACACCTCCTTTTCCCACTAAACGTAAAATATCACCTTCAGATCAAGGCGAATAGGGTTCGTAGACGATGTGAATGGTGTGCAAGGGGGATTCTTAAGATAAATCTGCTTTTCATGCTCAATAACCGTAGGATGCAAAGACGAGTTTTCTTTGCATTGTTCGAGCAAAAGAAGAAAAAAAAAAGTGTTATCTGCGACCTATCATTGTTTGGCACAATTTTCGACGTAATGGATACAACAATTTTCAAGGTATGCATCTTGGACACTTTTTGATGGCACTGTATAAGTCTGTCTGCATAACTAAAGTTTCTATACTATTGTATTAGTGTATTACATGTGTCTAAAATCTGCGCTGCATATATAAACACCTAACAATATTGTTAGATTAAGTGGAATCGTAATGTCGTTTAAACGGAGCTGCGAAGAGGGTTCTAATTAATGCAGTTTCATTGTCAAGATCTGTTTATAATTAGTCTAACGTCAGTTATCTGAATTGCGTTTTAATTAAGAATTTATTTTTAATTACAGTTTCTTCTAATTACATTTCCGTTTTTATCTTGTTCTTATGAGGAAAGATGTTTGTAACTTAAACCAGAATTCATTATTTTTACTTACTGGTTACGAGTTATGTGAGCTACCCGGTTGAGAAGCAACTAAAACGGTTTTTTAATTTGCAAAAATATTTTATTTAAAGTGTTATTAATTGTTGTCTTCCTTACGCATTCGTTTTACATGCCGGCAGTTTTCCTGATCTTTCAAGACTATCCAGGATCTATTTTATGAGTATTATCATCAAAATATTGCATGGACAGACGTATAGGATTGTCTGGTGAATAGAACGTTGGTGATACCTACCACTTTATTCCCGCTAATGTTCCCTGGATGAGTAAGTTTTCTGAAGTCGAGTTAAGTCATTGCGAAAAATCTATTTAAAATACTTTTTGCAATCGGTTTCGCCTTAATGATCGGTGCAAATGCAACGTAGCATTCTTCTGCAATAGTTTCGTTGGGATAGAATGGTTCACAGCACCGTACACCCAGGTAAAAGGGAATGCTAAGAGTATTTGACTTTTGAGCCCATGGTTTCTATCCCCTCTATCCCTTAGGTTCTAGATATTCTGGCATTGTATCCTATTGAATTTTATCTTCATTTCCTATCAAGGTTCCCTTACTGCTTCCTAGGCTGCTTGTTTTCTTGTTTAACACATCAGTTAATAAGTTCGTAGAATGACTTAGAGATGTCCCCACAATTGATGAATCCGTACGATTCTGAGATAACAGAAACAGATAGTTTCCGAACGAAATGCATCTACATTTTATGACATACCGACCATTTGTTTATAGGTTACACTTGAAGTCTTTTTCCGTTCCATTAATCGATTCAGAAGCACTTTTTGCATTCATCAACGCCTGTGTATCTGTCCACTTTCTTCTTGTATTTAAGTTACAAGCGGCAATTCTTTAGATATTTTGATGATACTCAGAACACTAACTTGAATGAACGCTATTGAAAGTGGTTGGGATCAAATCATTGCCCACCACTGCCCGTATATTGAAAAGTATAAATATCTAAAGTGAAACGTTGAACGGCGTGGCCCACTAGAATGATGTACTTAGTTGAAGAAATTGATGTATGAAGTTATAAATACCAATTGTAAAGACCAACGTCACGCGGCTTTTTTTTGGTCCTACACGTAGTTATAAGTTTTTTTTTTTTAAAGTAGGGTAAGTATACTTTACATTCCACTCATTTTCTTTTATAGCAAGCAGTGCTTTATTCTCTTGTGAGTATTATAGGGATGATGTAATAAGAAAGAACTGTACAAGTAAGAACGGAAAGGAACGGAAATGTCACATTCGAAACTTCGTTGACATACTTCGAAGATGATCAATTAAATGATTGGCAACGCCAATTGGTATTCGACTAAAAGAATAAAGAAGAACAAGATGACTTCCTTCCCTTAAATCGAACCGCAGACGGGGTAACACACCGGTTAATATCCGTCATCATCCGGTAGGATTGTACGCTATGGGTGCCGAATTAGGGATACTTTGATGGAAGATCGTTCGTTCCGTCCGCTGACCACTGGCGATAAGTCATTTAAGTTAACTGTAGGTATTTTCAGTTTTATGTTTGGCCTCTCGTGACATAATTAATGAAAAGAAGTTCAATTATAACGTCAAGAGATGTAAGGATTTTTGATGAGATGGATGAATATAAATCACCAAGGTAGGGAGGCCTGAAATAGCCCAGCATTATTAATTCGAACAGGAATTTTTCTAAACAAGCGGGAAAATTCCCCACTCTCGCAAAGTAAATATGGACTTGTAAGGCAGAAAATCTAAAAGTTACCTTTAAGTCTACAAAGTTTTGAGATACATACGGTATACGATACGATAATTGATTTGAATGAAAGGTTATTCAATCTGTCTTGCAATCAAACGTCCGTACACCATCTTCGGTTTAAATTCAGTCATTATTTCTCTTTTAACCTTAAGATATTTATTTCAACAAATAATTTTCAATACATTATGAAAATATGCAAAATAATTATACTTCGAAGATATCGTCGTACGCGAATCGTTTAAACATATTCGTTAATATGCTTTTCATAATCTCAGCTATGGCCACTTGAACGGACGGTTGTAACTCTGACCATATCTCAAACCAGTTTTCATTTAAAAACTGATTCATGTGCGAACTTAAAGTCTGGTCACCATTAAAAAGATTTGTTAATTTTACAAAAGTTCTGTTAGAAAAAATTAAAAAAATGGTAATAATTGTTTTTTTCTTAAACTGCTTACAATTTTAAAGAAAAAACTTACTTCCTGGGTTCCAGAAGCACTTTCAATTTATCGACCATTAAGTAAGTTTTACCATTTTTATTAATTAAGTTGGGTTTGAATTTAACTGAGAATTTCGGGCGGTCCAAAGTGATATCAGCGTCACCTTCACCGCGTATAGGTAAAATTAAAATCCGACCGTCAGCGGTGTACTTACCGCGTATAACCATTTTTGGTAAATCACCATATAATTCAAATTTGCTGCTACTGGGATCTTTGTCGAAACCTCTGAAAAATTCGAAATAAAACATTCAGTTACAGAGCTTTCCATGCGCCCAAAATTCCAAGAGCATAGTGCCAAGAGCAAGTCGTCCAAACTATAGAAAGTATTGAAATGATATTAAGGCGATGCATGAAAGTCGTGCTTGAGACTATGTCCACTTTGTCTTCGTATGCTTATAAGGGAAACATTTTTGCGGTATACCGGTTAATAAGCGATATTTGAAATTTTTGTTTACATATTCGTAACGTTCATAATAGAAGAAGAAAAGCCGAATTTCACATGCCTGCCACATGAATACTTGGTCCACTTAAGATTTTATTCTACAAGAAACTGGTTCTTTCTAAACGTCCCAAGACTTTATATATTCAACGTCCACCATAATTAAATTAGAATCAACACACTATCCCATTCTACTCTCCAACTCCTTCCGTTTGATGCCTATATTGAAGGTATTTCTAAGAAAACACGTAAGAAGTCGAGTAAATCAGTTTACGTTCCTCTGCGGGCTTCTGCTTTAACCAATTCGGCCCATATTAAATAGCAATCTGTGTAGTAGGAATCCAAGGCAATAAAGCTTAAACAATTATTGCTGGGAACCGAGAGGGTAGCGAAAGTTTCCTCTTTGGAAAATAAAAAGTATAGCGGATCGGGCCGGCTATTGTACGGGGATAATGGTGACAATGAAATTACACTACGAGACGCACAACATTTCGTAGGTATGGCATAGCCTATATCTGTGCTTTGGTTTAATGGGTAGTTTGTGGTTGCCTAGGGCAGTGCAATTATGGTGGTTTTTAATTTTTAAAGCTAGTAACTAAAAGTGAAAATAAAATCGTGTTAGAAGCTTGGTCCGCTGAATGCTAATCGAAAAATCTTGGATTGTAATGATCTACAAGGAGCTTTATATGAACACTTCTTTTACTTGTTACAAAATGACAGAGTGCTGAGTACTGCTTAGCGCAGGCCAACTTAAAGCAAGCAATCATTCATAAGCTAGTTTGGGTAGACAACGAGAAATCATACTACTATGTACTATTCTTCTTAGGCGATGTTGCCAGGAATTTTTCCTACCTGCCTCAATAAAAATTAATTTAGTTTAACAGTGAGGCAAAGATGACGGCGACGCTAGCAGTTGCCTAGAGGTCCTGAAAATGTCAAAAGTTCTCTGGACGTATCGGGACATATTATAAGGATAAAAGTTCTCCTTTCCTTTGTTCGGCTTTTCTCAATCACCTCTAAAGATATTGCATAGATGAGATGCATATATTAATATTTTATTATCTTAACTAAGTCATCTCGAAAGAGTGCACACGTTCATTCAAGTTTTTTAAGCGCAAATTTCTGCTTAGTTTACGTAGAAGTCTATGAATCTTTGATAGAGAAAAAAGTTGCTTTTTAAGGCGCTAAAGTAAAAGATAAAGTATTGAATGCTATAGCAATGACATAATGATAAATTTGAAATACCACCACCCATTGCTTTAAAGAAAATTTGAAATTGTTTTGCTTTAATCTCAATTTTCGTTGCCCGCATTTCTTAAGAAATTTGTTCTTTTAAAACCTTGAAATTCCTCTTCTTTCGTGGTTATTTTTAAGAGACCTTAAAATTTCTCACAGTTATTTTTAGCTTACGTTTAATAAGAATTTCAACACTTTTCAAATTTTTTTGATATCCTCCAATCGTCACTTAACGGAGATATGTTAATATTATCCTTGCGTTTGTCAATGAATTATTAATCGACGCTTACATATCACCTCCATACGATTGCGATTATGTTAACCGTTTGTCTCCTTTTCAGGTCATTCATTACCTTTCAACAATTGACCTTGAGATTCTTCTCAGTCGTATCGATCGATTCCTTGCAGATATTAAATATACAGGTTTTAGGAGTTATTCTATAACTAGACTTGATGAAATTCGACTAAAATAACTAAGTTTATGACGCTTTTGCTCTGATCGAAACGTTTATTCGAGTTAACGAAACCAATCAACTTGCTTAACCCAACTGTACTGTATTGAGTATCTAAGATTCGTTCTAAAGTAAAGTCGTTGTTTTGTTTTTCTTTTGTTTTTTTTTTTTTTTTTTTTTGCTTCTGTGAAAGCTGCGGCAGAATTAAAGTTTTTTATGCAACGATCAAAACTTACACGGCACGTTGAAAGTTAACACCAGACAAACCCAATACATCGACATCGCGGAAATTTAATTTTAAACTTAATGAACCGCCGCGACCATCAGATATGTCGAGACGCTTCAAACGGAAAGGCTCAATAACGGGGAAAGCGGCAGCCGCATAACCACTAGTCGCATATTTGCGAACCACATTAATTGAGGTACGCACTATACACTCAGTATCACCAGGTCGGCAGCGCGTTATATCGGCGGCTACACACAGTAAAAAGAAAAATATTTTTACAAAAACTGATGCATATAACGAACAAAAAAATAAAAAAAGAATTAAAAATCGAAATAAAATTTACAAAAAAAAAAAATAAATAAAAGACCAACAAGCAAGAAAGAATTCGCATATTCACCTTAGGGCGAATATTTAATACCCTTCATCTTATAAATGCATATAAATTAGGAATTAGGACAATTTTCGTCAACTTTTGGACGAATAACCGAAAATCTTAATGGCTATGACAAACATAGATGCGAACTGTTAAAATAATTTGTGCTACAGCTTGTAAGTCTATGGCAGATAATCATGCCCATCGAGTTGTCCACTTATCCCTCCGTCCGTCTCTCTGTCCTAATTCGATATGCGATAGAAAGCGTTCCAATAGCAAACTGGCTAATTGGAGAAATGGAACTGCAGAGATGGAGCAGATAGACAAATTGTTAGATAATTGAACGAAATAATAGATGGAAAATTTCACGATACGACAGATAAACTCTCTAACTGACAAAGGGGTCGGGAATGGGAAATGCGAATGGACGGATGAATTAGTAGACAGATTTGCAAGTTAGTGAATAACCCGTCGAAAGCATGGATACAGCTGCAAGCAGATACTTATGCGGTCTAATGACGGACGGATGGACAGACATAATGGCCAGCTGATGGAAAGAGAATCAAATTAAAGAACCATATAGATTAGATAGGGATCGGTTTAATTGACCCGTTATATGTTTGCGGCGTCTCCGCACATGCACATTTTATCCTGTTACAAACCAGAGGATAAATCTAATATCGTTAAATTTGTATATGGTGAGCACAAAAGTTGACTATAAATTAGACCTACGTAATGTGGCGACGGCATTAGAGTTTGAAATGTACAGTAAACTACTGCTCGCAAGCAGAAACCACAATTTCGCGAATTTTTTCAACATGATGAGCGGAATCGCTAACTGCAGCAATCGAAGGACAGTGATTTTTGGTTTCTTTTACAGTTTTTTAGAAATTCTTTTCAATAATCGATAATTTTTTGTAGATTTTGAATGTGTTCTTTTTTTTGTTCTTCTGTTTTTTGTTTCTTTTGTTTTTTGTTTTTTAGGTTTTTTTGTTTTTTTATTTTATGCAATTAGTTAACTTTTTACTCAGACTCACTACTTAATAAGAAATAAGTATTCCTTCAAAAGTCTGAATCAATGTCAATGTTAAACTGAAATTCAATTTCAGACTTACTCCGGCATTTATAAGTTTCCCATGTTCTTTTGTTGTGCATTACAGCCATCCACATAACTACGTATGCGTGAATACAATACTTGGCTATATCCACTATGACGTTCTTGCTGCTTTTTTTTTTTTGTTTTGTTTTCCTTCTCTTTCTTAAATTGATGAGCGAATTTTATGAAACAAGTGAAAAAAAAAAAAAACTAAACTGATTCTGTAAATTGTTTCACATAAATATACTTGAAATCTGTAAACAATGAGATTAAAATAACAGTTGATTACATTTTGAAGCATTCATCACCATCGCTCATTAAGATCATTATTTAGATGCGGGATATATAAGCATATATGTGTACATATTGTTAAGCTTTAATATAAGACAGATTTTGCTATACACGGAATCCAATTTATTATATGCATCAAGACAAAGCGGCAATGACAGTAACAATAACAATAATAGTTAACAGTAACAGTATCGAGATTAAACGTAAAGTTTCAACTGAACTTTTACGCATGACTTACATACATATATTCGTTAAGTTAACAATTGTCTGTTTTTTTACTAGATTTGGAAGAACGTTTCGTCGTTTATTTGTAATAAGATTTTTTTTTATAAAATTTACTCAACAAGATTATGAGGAAAAGAATGCCTTACCCTGTTGGTATTCCTTCCAGGCAATGAGCTGGCGGACATCACAGCTAAAGAAGAAAGACTTAAAACTTTTTACGCGAAAGCATTATCCTGCTGTGGAGAGGCCAGACACTAATTCATACACGTAAGCCTAACAGGAAACACTAAAAATTGATCCTTTGGAAGGTAAAGCGACCTATCCAAAAAAATGTAAATATTAAAGATTTTAAGCATTTCATAAGATTCCAATTGGAACATCCCAAGCTCACTCATGAAAGAGAGCGGCAATGCCGTCTTTGCGGCAAGTTAACCTCAACTTGAAACCACGTGCTAAATGACAGTAGTGCCTTACTCTCAAAAAGAAACGGTCAGATGTGGATCCATCCCTTGTTAAAGCGCCCAACAAAAATAATATAGTTAAACTTTTGCTTATAAATTTTTGTGAGATTGTAACATCCTAAATTTAGTACAATTCTAATATCTATAGGGGTCCAACCAAGTAGTACACAATTGTACATATAATACGCAAACTTTTGTAAAAAATATATTCATATTATGAACATATGTGGTTATGTTGAATCAATAAAGAACGTAAAAAACTCGTTTTACAGAACTTTCCGTCAAACCTATCAACGGTTTTTATTACCCTACACCATTTGTGTTACAGTCTATATTAAGTATATGGGGGCATTTGTAACAAGCAGAAGGGCTTAATATAGATTCACCATTCCGATCCAAACGGATTCTTTCTCTAAATTGATGTAAGCTTATATGTCCGCCTGTCCGTCTGATGCCTGTCCAGGGATATTTTTGTTCAGGCTGCATGTTGCAAATTTTTGAGATATTTTGATAAAACTTGGTACCCTGACATGCTTTGATGACAAACTTTTGCTTTGAGAACGAACGATTGAAAATAGTTTGAATCGTTTCACTTCTTTAATCAATCCCCATAGAGCTCCCTCTTTAGAGAAGTCGTTATATGGAAAGAAGTTGCAAATTTCAAAATTTATCAGCAAAACAGCGATGTAATAACATTTCGACATTCTAAATTGGTGTGAAAGCCGATTCTGATCATTCTTTGAACTCCGTCTCGTATAACCGTTCCTACGAAAACTGAATCTTTGTATGACAAAAAGATCTAATTTTCAATATTTTGCAGTGAAAATAGTTTCATAATAGCAAATTGATAAAGAAATTAATCTTACGAAGTTTGGACCATGTATGTCTATTTTTTCAATAAAGGTGTAATTGTTAAAGTTTTATTATGAAAATTTATTCATGATAAATATTAAGGACACCTTATTTTAATCACGTGAGTCACACTTCATATAAGATTTCTCATGAATAGTACATCTTTCAGAAATAGATATAATTTTTAATAATTTATGCTGAAAATCGGTTCATAATAACAATTTTCACAAAAAATGGGGATTATCATCAAAAGCAAGCTCTTACAGGGAGACAAAGTCTAATTTCTGATTTTGTATGAAAAATAATAAAATTGTTGGGAAGTAAATTAAGTTTGCTAAATTTTGACCACGTCATGTAATGTTTCGGGTATTTTATGATGTGCGAGTTTTCATATATTAAAGTATGCGTTTGCATGAAAATAAAGTATCTTGGTGTTGGTGTCTTATTACCAAAATGAGTAAATGACTGCATTAGGCAAAGCGGCGTAGGGTATCTAATAGTCGGCCTATAATGTTCTTAACATTATTAATTTTTTTTTTTTTTTTGTTAACTGTACCCGTCCAGTAAAGCTTTACGCTTCCGAACTTTATTTAACTTTATCATAGCATTGTTTTGCTCAGGCCTTGTTCATAACTAATTAACAGAAAACGAAAAAAAAAAAAATTCAAAAACATTCCTTTAACTTGAATTTTTTTTCTTTCCTTACTTTTTATACAATAAAAAGCTCCTTGTTTTGTGTGTATTATTTATTATCAGGTAGGAAACTGTTTCCTTTATTCACTACTGCAACATGAGGAATATACCATTGCGTCTATGCATAATTTTAAGACACAAATCAATGAAAATCAAACTTTCGTAAAAGCCTCAAAACTTTCGCTAGAGTTTGGCGTCAAAAGGCCAGCGACTTGAAGATCGCAAAATAATTTCACTGACAACTTCTGGTTACGTAGCCCTCTTTAAAGCAAAGATTTTAAATTTTCTAAGATATATCTATATATGCGCTATTTATTAGCTAATCCTCTACGTCCAGCTTTTTTCTAACCATCTTGGAAAGAATTTACCTTTTTGGTCCTTTTATTTTCGACTCACTCTAACCGGCGTAGAATCAGAGCCAACTGTTCGTACGAGAACTGAATCTGCCTATGATGAAAAAGTGTCATTTTTAATGTTTCACAGTGAAAATTGGTCCATACTTTGAGTCAGAAAACAAACTTATTGCAGTTAGACCATGCGGATCTAGTTTTTTCTCTCACAGCATATAAAAAATAAGTCGTTATCCCACAAAACTATCCAGTTTTTCTATAAAGAAAATTGGTTCGCAAGAGTAATTTGATACGGTACTCAACTTACACAAATTTGGATCATATATGCCTACTTTTCACACTCCACCCTATATAAGGGTTCACATGAAAAGTAAAGCCTGAAAATTTATAGTTTTTAATGATGAAAACAGATGAAATATATTGAAATCTTTACAAAGTAATTTAAGTTTGTTAAATTTGAATCCCGTCAGTTGACTTTTCAAACGTTACCTCCAATATCGGCATTTTCTGGGAAAATAGGCATTCACATGAAAATAATGAATCATTTTTGGTGTATTGTCACAAAAATAACTAATGAACGATTGTATTAAGGGAAGTTTTGTAGGGTATTTAACGGTCGGCTTTGCCCCAATTATAGTGTTTGTACTAGTTGTATCATGTTTTTTTGATGAGGAAGTATTGCAATAAAAAAAAATTCTTTGAAAATTGTTAAGAAGATTACTACAGCTTAATAGCTGTGCCCGTAGCTAGAAAAACCCGGGGAGTTCTAAATCAATATCGATTTTTGCCTCATTGGCGAGTAAGTTATATTAAAACATCCAATTTTCGACTCAAAAAAGGCAACATTTTCTTATCGAAAATCGCTCCTTTTTAAAATATGAAAGTTGTTGGTTATGTAGAGTTCGAGGCTATCGAAATCGAGTAAAATGTGTTTAAGGTACGAAGGTGTGTTAAAGGCATGCCTTGTACGCAATTCTGCCTGAACTTTGAATCACTTCGCCACTTTTATGTTTTACTGAGGTCGTATTTACAAAATGGTTGGCGCTTCTTCTCAATTAATCTCTGCTCCAAATCTTGGATAGATTAAGCATTTCGGGATTAGTTTCCGGCAGCGAGATTGTGAGGTTCGTTCGAGATTTTTAGCTGTGTGAGATTTCTTAGAAAGAGGGAAAGGGTTAATTTTAACATCATGAGTAACTGTAAAAGCACAAAAATTTTTTATTTATTGTTGTTATTGCTATTATTCATTAATTAATTCAGGTAAACTAAATTTTTTGGAAATGTGAAATAAGTTAAGAGGTCGAAAACGCCTCCAAACCTCAACGTAGTCCGATTAGGATTAGGTCAATAAGAAAAAGATATTGTTTTTTCTGTATAATTTAATAATTCCTTTTTATATTTGTTTTTACACCCTACACCCCTTGTAATGCAAGGGTGTATTAAGTTTGTGCGGATGCATACAATACCCTACTCGCGATAGACTTTTTTTTATAATATGCCAATCGATATAGAACCACTTTCTAAATCGATTTAAGCTTGCTTGTCCGTCTGTCCGTCTCGTTTTCTTACATCCAACGGACAGATTGTATTTTTTGAGATTCAGTACACTAGCATGTTTTGCCCCAAGGATAAGCGGAATGAAAATGATTCCGATCGCACATCTTTTTCGACTCCTTCCCATATAAGTCATTAATTTGAAAAGTCGTCATGTCAATATTTCTAGGCTGTGGCCCTTTATAGCATTTCGACTTGCTACTTACATTCAGTGTGAGTTAAAGATAACAAGTTCGGCTTAAACCTATGTATTTCGTATGCTATCATATCAATTTTATCAACAATTTACTCTGCTTCTTACTCTTTAAATTCAATTAATATTTCTTATATTATACTTTCAGCTAACCTGCCTGAAACTCGAGGTTAAAATAAATATAGTTTATCACTCATTCTATCACATGGAGTTGAGAAAATCTTTTTGTATCCTACATCGCTTGTGGTACAAGGATATATAGTGTATGCAACACTTGGAAGTGTTTAAGATCAATCCATCTTTTATTATATACCGATCGATTTAGAATGATCTTTTGAATCGATTTATGTCTGTCCGTCTTATTGTGTGAGGATATTTAGTAAATTGACCTCTTTTTGGCCCAAGGACGAGTGCTATTTTCCAGTGCCTTGCTTTTTAAAATTCGTTATATTAATAATTAACTCTATTAAGCAAAGTGATGTGATGGACCGTGGCCACGTCATACTATTTGTGATTGTTGAAAAAAAAAAAACAAATTTTTTTTAAAACTGTGTATTTTTTTTTCTTTATTCAAAACATTTTCATTCTTTTGGAATTTGGAAAAACATATGAAAGATAAAGAATACTATATAAATGCTATTGATTTAAGTGACATATTAAAGAATACTATTAAAAATGAGAAATATGCATTAATAGACATATAAATTTCAAATAGAATAAATACATGCATTCGATTCGGTTAATTAACAGCGGCCATTTTGAAGCGGCATAATACAGTTCTTGAAAATTATGGATTTTAGAGCAAATATCATTAAATTATTAAAAATGTAAAATTACAATTAATAAAATATACATATATGCGTACATACATACATATATATATACATATAAATATACATATATACATATACATATATATATATATATATTTATATATATATATCTAGCATCTAAGGACAAACACCATCGCCGGTCTTTTGGAATGCTGAAAAATAAACATACGTTATGGTAATTAAGTCAAATTTTTTAACGCTTATTGAACTTGAACTCAGGTAACTTACTGTAAGTTCGCAGACAATTTTCCGTTTTCAATATGCATAAGTTGTTGAAAGTTCTCGTTATGCCAGCATCATCCGTACCGCAGATGGGTTTATAATCTTGTAATTCGCAATTCATCTGACAATTTCGTTTATTATCCGTTAATGGTGAGCTGTACACCACCAGAGCTAAAGCCAAGACAATCATGGCAACTAAAAAAAACAAAGAAAGCATTTAAAAAAAAATATTCTTTAATGAAATCCTAGCAACAATCATCGTAATATTTGCTATCACTTCATCTAACAATGAAACCGAAAAAATGAAAAACGAAAGAAAATACAAAAACTCGGGTATATTAACTTAGTGCAATCGTATGTAACATTAAGTAGGGCCTAAAAAGGGATCCAACTTTTATTATACCAATCTATACAGAATCTTTATCTGAATTGGTGTAAGCCTGTCGGTCTGATGTCTGTCCATGCAATTTTGTGTTCACGCTACAGGTCACAATCTTTCAGATATTTTGAGGAAATTTGTTACAGTGACTTGTTTTCGCTCAAGATCGAATGCTATTAAAAATGTTTCGGATCGGTCTGCCGTTTCGATCAGCTTCCATATAACGCCGTATTCTGAAAAGTCGTTATATAGAAAAAAAATTTAAATATTAAAAATTTCTCGGCAAAAGTGGCATTCTAGGCATTCTAAATTGGTATGAAAACTTTGAACCGACCGAGGCATATTTCATATAACGAAAACTAAAGTTAATAAGACGAAACGATATCATTTTTAAGGCTTTATGAAGAAAATTATATCGTGATAATAGTTTAATATTAATTGTAAAAAATTTCTTATCCCATTTTTTGGACACTACTCTAATAAGGATATTCACGAAAATTGACCTTTACAGAACAGAAAAGTCGAAGTTTTAATGTGTGATGATGAAAATTGACCCCTAATGGAAATTTCATACAAAAAAGAACTCGACAAAATTTGGAACAGATACGCCTGCCCTATGTAACGATTAAATTTGTACTGCATTAGGTTGCGTTTTGTGCCTGCGTCCCCATAAATACGCACATAAAGAATATGTGTACATATAGAAACAGGACATCATTTTTGTGTTCTATAATAAAAATAAGAATTGTGTTAGACAATATGGCGTAGGGTATTTGATGGTCGACCTTGCCCGCCAATAATGTTGTTATTCGTATTTCTATGTAAACAGGTCTGAACCCCGGATTAATTGTCATTATTTATTTATTTATTTACTGTTCTGGTTGTTGTTGTTCGCGTGTTTACACACATGCTCTATGCGCATTTGTCGCCAATCGGTCTAGCGATGATGGGGCGTATTTACTTGGATCGCTTGTACTCATTGTTCTGTTTTTTTTTTTTTTCTTGTGTAAACATATTGTTATTATTTAGTTATTTTTTTATTTTTTCATTTTGGTTTAATTTGGTTTTGATTTCGTTTCAAATAATAAGCGAATAGTTATTTATTTATTCGGTATGGCGTAATAATTATATATAAAGAAAAACAAAATATATTCATTTTACTGATTAGAAAAAAAATAAATAAAAACAAATATGACTATGTCTAGGGTATGTATGTATCACTTTGTCTAGAGTATGCATGTATGACTATGTCTAGGGTATGTATTTATATGCGTGTATATACATGTGTACATTTGTACAGGCATACGATTGCAAATGAAATTATCATTCTTCTTAATTACATAGTTAAAAAGATTGAAATGAAATTTCAATTGAACGCGAATACATGTCAATAAGATGAAATCTATGTTCTTGCCCTTTCGCTATACAGCGGGGCATCGTTTATGATAAAGTCTGCGCTTGGGAACTTCGAATTATTAATTCGAAATATAATTACATGCGTAAATGAATAACTTTTGAACAAATCTAGAAAAATTGTACACTTCACCCTGCACCCATTTTGCCTCCAGCCGATTTTTCATAAAAAAAGTCTCATTTCCGATGTTTAACAAGAGCCTACTTGTAAAGCAAAAGACAGCTACGTCTTAGAAGTCTCTTAGCTCAGATATAGATAAAATAAGTATATATCTCAAAACGATCAATTCTCATCTGGTGCTTTATGCCCTACCATATTGAGACATTTTCAGTTGTTTTTTAAAATCCTTTCAGTGTTAATTAATGGAATTCGAATGAAAAACTTTTCAAGTTTCCCCTAACACTGAAGACTGAACATTCTGGCTAAGGATGTGATGTGAACTATCCGAAGAAAAGTAGACCGCACACGACATACAGTTCAGATTAGCCAGCTTGAACAAAGTAGACTAGGTGGGCGAAGCACAGTACACTAGCCAATCTAACAGAAGTAGATGAACCAGCCAAGCATAATGAAATGATCAGCTAAAGAGGCTATTTAGCCTAAAGACAGCGAAGAGACTATGCTAGTTAGTTTAATCTTTGCAAACAACTCAGGCTGGAATAGCTTTCTGAAAGAGATAGATAGATAGGTAGACAAGTTGGCAGACAGACACACATTTAGATAGATAGATAGATAGATAGATAGATAGACAGATAGACCGACAGATAGAGAGATCGATAGACAGATAGATAGACAGATAGATAGACAGATAGACAGATAGATAGATAGGTAGATAGAGATAGAGAGAGAAAGAGAGGGGAGAAAGAGAGATAGAGAGTGAGAGAGAATAGATTGGATTGATTAGCTTACGACCTCTTCTGAATGTAATAAAATAGAGTAACTTGTCCAGCAAGAGTACAGTTTTAAAGACGACCGCCTACGCAGTCTATAAATAGATATATATGAGGGTAGGCTTACTATATTATGCAGACTAGATTAGCCAGATTATAAAGCCTGACTTACATAAACGAAAAAAAGTATTAAAGTACCTAGACGTAGTGGTAGGTACGGCAGACTAGTTTAGCTTGCCTAAATAATGTAGATTCGCTGGCTTGAACGGTCTGTAGTCTAGACTACTTAAAACGGCAACCTATTTCATTAACATTAACTGAATAAGACATTCTCAGGTAAATAGAATACCCTACGTAACATACGGAGCGCATTAATAAATTTAACACATTAAACCTAGTGGAGCAGCAATTCGTAATGGGACCAGCTTAGTAAATATATTGTAGCCTGTTTAAGTTATGCAGAGCCACTAACCTAGATGGACTAGACTTAATTGCGTAAGTACACCTTCGGTCAAGGATTATGGATAAGAAAAAAAAGATGAATATATCTTCCCCATGTATTTCATCTTAAACTCATAACAACTGATTCCATTTTAATGACGCTTGATTTTTTTAGAGGATAAAACGTTCTTTACTATCATCTCCCCGCTCTCTGAAGGCAATATTTTTTGATTGACATTGTTCTAAGAAAATTCATGGCTTCACCAGGATTTTGAGCGGATGATGACTAGTTGGTTCTTCATTCGTTAGATGGTTCATCCTCTTCATGCGATATTCAAACCACAAAGGTATTCCAAACTTCTGCAAAAGTTTTTACACGATTTACTGATCGAAGTTGGAATTATATTCGAGCCGAGCTCATCGCAATTAATTCGAAACAATCAGTACTAGCAGTTAATGATTAAACGACAACTCAGCCCCGTAATTGTATATACCGCTTCTTATGTATGTCGGTCAAAGTCTACGGACGATGTGTGTTTGCCTGAAAAACGAGTTTTGAAAACGTTTGCCACTGAGTATGTAAAGAACTGTTGTCGTTGCGAATAATAAAACGGAAAATTTATATTTCTACAAAAAATACTATAGTGGGGCTTGGTCCATCATTAAATAGCGTAGACCCTTCTACAGTTACCCACTTCTTGATTTTTTAAAAGGGCGTTATATGGAAAGGGGTCAAAACGGTGGTCGGACATACACTGCTTTCAATAGCGTCCTTCCTTGGTTTAAAACTCATCAGTATACCAAACATCGTCATAATATTTTAAAAATTGTGGCTTGTACGTTGCACGCAAAAAATAATATAGACAAACGGACAGATAAGTTCGGAATCATTTTCCGAATCGATCGGTTTAATAAAATATGACTCTACATCAAGTCCTTTTAGGTGTTGTATAAATCCGCACAAACTTTAGATACTTTTGTACTAAAAGTTGTGAAGGGTGTAAAAAGCAAGCCATTCCGTTCAGCCTATTGAGGAACTTGGAAGTAATAAAAACCCGAATGGAATGCTGAAAAGCTTAAATGACAAAAAGTCGCTGCTTTACTTGCTTTAATTATAAATTTGACTCAAACCCATTGATTACAGTTTGTGTAACCATTTCGCTTCACTGCTTGCATGGTTAAATCGGCAAAAAGAGACTGAATGTATGCGATGAGGTAAATGAACTACCCAGAATATTCACATATAGAACTCGCGCTTTTCAAATTCTATAATCCGTAGGATTCTGCTGACAAATGGTCATTATAGAAACTTAAGACGTTCGATCGTCGGCAGGCTCGAATTGTTCAAGGTTTTGTTATTGGCTCAGGTTTTTTCAGAACTTGTATTATATTTTGTATTCTATTCAACCTTATGTGCACAGTTGGAATATTTGCAAGACCCAGTGAGCGAAAGAAATCTGCAAGAATACATATTCTGATACTGTGTTTACTTTTTTAGAAGAAGAAGGCAACAGTACCTTGTGTCACTCGTTCTCCTTGACAAGGAGACCAAGCAGTAACGTGATAAGTAACACACGCTGCATGATGAATGAGTCGCTAAGTCGAAATTTCATGACTACATTTAAATGAGTTCGGGTAAGTGGGGTAAGTTTTAATGTCACCAAAAGCCAAAGCTGTCTGCTAATGCACAGTGACAGTGATGAACAACCTCTGTTTTGTGTGGACGAAAGCCTTCAAACTTTGCTTGGGGGCTCTCAATCGTATGCAGCGAAAGGCTCAAGTGCGTGGGCATGGACGAGGAAACAGTGTTCAGAAGTTTCGCTATCCTTGGACATTGGTGTAACGTGGGCTGTGGGAAATTAAGTTCTTCACCAGGACTAAATCTGCGCCCACCACCTGTTCGAGGGTTACTTGTATACCGCATAGCACACTATCACGTCTCGTCGGTTTTTAACTCAACGGAGGTTTTTCCTACCGTATCTGACGTTCCCATTTTCAAGTCGAACGTTCTCTAACACTACCCCCTACCTGCACTCCACTCCTTCTATAACATTTCCTGATTACCACCGTGCCGTTGGGAATTAACTTCGAAAACCGAGGCATATGCGGCAGTAATGGACGAAACAAGTCCACAGGATAGTCCAAGATGCACGAACCGGAGCAAACGCCAGATTCACTTCATGCCAGATAATAGTTCAATTTTGGTGAGACTGAAAGAGAATCGTGCCCCGCGCACCCGAGGATAGGATTAATTTCGCGCGGAAATAATGGGGAAATTTTTGGAATTGCTTATCAGAAAAAGTATCGTCATCATGGCAATGCTAATTAATATCTCCTTCAGCTTTCTCATTCTCATTTTTACCTAAGAATTAAGGCAAAGTTAATCGGATAAGTATAGTTAAGACTTTAGCTTTAAACTTTGAATTTTTTCATTTCTAAAGCGAAATGAAAAAAAAAAAAACCCTTTCGCTGAAATTATTTATTGCTTATAAAGGTACAATTATTGTCTTTCAACTGACAGATAATTGAATACAGATTTTTATCCCCATCGACGAGGGCCAGAGAGTGGCTTCAGCGACTCCACAATATAATTACGTTCTTGAACAGCATCACATTCTGAATCGATTTAAGCATATCCGTCTGTCCGGCAGTCCGTCTATCTGTCTGTGTAATGCCTATTGCACACATTCTCCTGGCCGCTATCCATTTTAAATTTGGCAGAAACATTGCAAGTTTCCGCAAGCAGATTGGTATTGAAAATGGAACAAATTGCTTGAAAGCCACGACTGCATTACCATGCAAACTGAGAAAACCTCTCCTTTTTCAAAAGGAATAAAAAAATTGCTTTTTTGATAATTACTCACAAACTATAGCAGATAAATGTACAAAAATTTAAACGCGTACTCTATGGGCGATGTATTATCGTCTGCATAAAAATGGGAAAATTTGATTACGCCCATCCAATATTATTGCGTATCAAAATTCAAATTTTTTTTTTTGTACCTTTATAAAGCGCAGAAACAAGCTTCAAGGACCTTATAAAGTATAGAAATTTTAGATCAGTTTCAAATTTGGAATGCATTTAAGCAAGTCCGTCTGCCGTAGACATTCTCCCGTTAGCGAAAATGAAGGTATCGCTTACACATTTGCCAAAGAATTTGCAAGTGACCTAAATTTTTCATAGGACACGCCTACGCTACAAAAACTTTTATTTTGAAAATAGAAAAAATCAGGCGCGCCCATTCCATATTATAGAGCATGAAAATTTATTTCTTTTATTTTTTTTGTCTTCTCTAGGAAAATGGTGACGATATAAAAGAATCGGTCACGACCGAATACAAATTTCTTATTTTTTTTTTTTTTATATTCATTCACTTAATCCTGAAATAAGAAACTGTATCTAGCATTCGAGAAAATCCACGCGTCTGTGTTGAGGGCAAAGAATTCAATAGGCTGCCAAATTAGACGTGCGATTTATCCAAAATTTTACTTAAATCTCATTTCTGAAGAGTAAAAATCAATTCTTAGGTGTGAATAACGAGTATAACTCTTTGTAATTCCAATATTATTAGATCCGAATAATTTTCATTCATCCTATGATGAATCTTAACGCTTACGTTCCGCATCAATAAATTTTTTGGTAATAATAGAACCGTCATTAATCTGATCTGAACTTACAAAAATAATAACTGGTCCTGACAAAATATTATTTGATACAATTAATGAAAATGTCATGCAAGTTGTTAATATTTTTTTATTTCATTTCAGTTCGGTCCAAGTTTCTCATGTACCAACTTCGCCCTTAAGAATTGTAATATCTTGCAAAAGACGGATTTATCCGAGTTCACTCAAAGTCTTATAGTGTGATATAGTGTGATATATGATATATGATATATGATATATGATATATATATATATATGAGATAAGATAAGATATAAGATAAAATAAGAAATATATATATATTTATATATACTCTATGATATATAAGATATATAATTATATAATATATAAGATATATATATGTACGTATACTTATGTATATCCTCTATAACACTATAAAGATAGATGTAGACTATTTGATGTAGACTAAGAGACAGTGAGTGAATTCAGATAAATCCGTGCATGGGGAACTTGGATCCGACCGAAATGAAATAAAAAAATCTCAAAAAAGAAAAAATGCTTAAAAACTTGCATGACATTTTCTTTGATTTTGTCAAATAATATTTTCCCAAGACTGTTTATTATTTTTGTAAGCTCAGATCAGATTAATACCGGGTCTAGGAAGGATAAGTTGATGCATGGGAAACTTGGATCGAACCAAAATACGGTAACACAATCTCGAAAAAGA